TCATCAAAGTGCACCACCGTAGAAAATAGAATAAAGATAGAACACACATTGAACTGGTTGCCATTGTCATGATTATATCTCAATAAAATGGTGATTTTTGTTAAGGGTTATGGTGGAAGCAGCTGTCAATAACAACATCAAATGTGTCACACTCAATAGTTTGGCCTTCCGTCCAGACTAAGCCGACATTTTCCTTTAGTCGGTCTCTTGTTGATGTTCTCCGAAACCTGTTATCACATTCATAATTATCTAAATCTGTGTGTCCTGGTGTGTTCCCTGAGCCAATGGTCAAAAGTCATCTGAAATCTGACCAACATCGTACTACTGCAAACCTCGCCCCAGTAAGTCTGTGATTTGCGGCAAGTAAGCTAACAAAACCTAATTGATTTGCAATGGAAACGGTACGCTTAACAATGGCTGATGCTCTGATCTACCTGCTGTTCTGGTTTGAATGGAAAATAAATGTTAAACTGTTATTCTATTGCTTATGGGTAACTCTATACCCTAAGTCCACCTATTGAGCATTTACATGCAGTTTATATTTATGTACCACATGTCGACGTTGATGAGATCCCTCTGGTTCAAGGACAATATAGGAATTAAATGACAATATAATATGAAACATTGTTCGAATTCAGAGCGTTATTTCTCTAACCTTTTTTCAATGATGAAAGGTGTAGGTGTGGAGGTTATCAGTGCACCTCTTTGTGTGTGCAGTTGTGTGCATGTTCTATTGATTAATGTACGTCAACATCTATTATTTGTGTATGTCCTTGCCAATTTTTATTTTTCTCCCTCTGTCTTTTGTCCATGTTTCTAGAAATGAAATGAGTTGCTATGGGGACTGAGATACTTGTGTGAGAAGGAAGTGGCAAGAGAGAGAAATGTGGCTGTCAGGAGACCACGTGGTAATGCACGGGTGTTACAGGTGTGGTGACACTCTTACTTTCCGAAAAAGCCTGAGTTTGAGTACATAATGCATATGTATGTGTAGGCCTACATGTGTGTCTGTGGTCTTAATGTTCAGGTTTTTCTTCACAGTGAGGAAGCCTGCCATCACTATTTCTTCTCTTTTAAGTCTATATGTCACACAAACCCACAGGGATGTATTCACAAAGACAGTCACCCATCTGTTGTTTGTGTTTGTAAAATAAAAAATAAATAACCCATAATTATGCTCATAAATGCTGGTATACCTTTGTTTACCATCACACAGAGAATGATGGTGTGATCCTTTATGTGTTGACAGGGGTTAAGCGACTGGCCAGTGATAATACAGCTGTTTCAGGCACTCCATCACTTGATAATTACATTACACTGGTACTCCATTGCTTCCACTCGCTCCCGGTAATCTTGTTAAAATCTCAGTGATTGGAATCGCAGTGACAGAGAGACGAATGACAGCGAGGCAGCCGCCCGTGGAGCCCAGGCTCTCTGCGCCTGGCTGAATGTTTTGAAGTGCATTAAGCTTTTGTCATGTAACCATGGAGCTGCATAGGCATACAGGTCCTGAAATGCACGTTTAGATGCAGGTATTCCCTTTCTGGTTCCTATCAAAGACATGTCCATTTACTGCGATTTGCAGTTTTAGAAAGAAGTGAAGGACCTGCACATTTTCAATTTTTTTAAAACTTAAAAGCAGATACATGAAAACACTACACAATGACAGGGCCAGCTCCATTAAAAGTAAAGATGGCTCCCCTTTTTCCTTTTAATGTAGCGTCAAGGGCTTTTCATTAAGTTGCTATGCTGCCCTCTGGTGGCCCTTTCTCAATACCCTTTTTCACCGTTTTGCTGTATAGGGATATTGCTGTTTGTTTGTATTTTCTAGTGTAGAGAACATAGAACATGTACAAATAAAAGCAAAAAATAAGCATAGGTAAATCTGTTTTAGGCTTCCTTATCCCTACATTGCTGGTGTAGACTTACAAGTAAAGAACAGTCATTCCCTGATTCCAGACCAGCTCCACTCTGTGACAGGTAGTTTAATTAAAGAAAAGGTCTGCCCTGCAGCTACTGACCGCCTGGCCTGCCAGACTCAGCCGAGGTAACCAGTATTCATTTGTCATGTGCACGAGTGGCTGACATATTATTTATTAGTCATTTATATGAACGCCTCACAGCCAACTGCTGTGACAGTGAGACAGGTTTTTAGTGTTTTGTAGGGATAATCAGTGGTAATTATGACAAAGCTATGACATGATATACATCATCACATCTGGATTGCATACCTCTGAGGTGAAATAAGGCAGAATTAAGTATTATTCCTCAAAACATCATGATGGGGCACATTTTATAAGACACAAAGAGAAAGCCCTTTACCATTATGAATATATTTAACACACTATATTAAAAAAAAATTCATGTTAAAACGCATTTTATGTAAGACCAAGAGGATTGAATACATGGCAATTCACACCTCTGATTTATTCAGCTTTTTGGTGATTTCTAAATAAATAAAGTAGATAAAGTGTAACAAAATTGCAATTGAGTCTGGTCATTGGGCTTATTTCTAAATGGCTATTGTTTACATTTCAGAATCGCATTGTCCTAGTAGGACCAAAAAGGGACAAATGTTAATATGAATATAAAATATCTATTGTGTATTGACTATAAAATATGCATTGTCGAATATCAAATGTCAGGTTAAAAAGTAAAAATATATATATTTTTTTGAACTGGTAATGTGAGAACATCAGCATGTGCTTTGACTTCACATTTTCCACAGGGGACATTTTCTAAAAAGCAACAACAAAATATTTGAAACCTCAACAGAAAATAAATGAATGCATACATCTGGCTCACAGCAGCACACACAAGAAACATAATCAATTACCTGAACGCAGCTCATTTCACCTCAAAATAAGATCTGCCTTAATCTGACAGAATGATAAAACACTTGTGTGTCTCTGATAAGTGTGTCCCCATCTGATGGGCCTCGGGTCCTCATGACCCAGGGGACCAATTTGAGTGGTACACAGCACATGGTGCCCTGTGCTGTATTATCGACCCCCCCCACCTCCGCCACCATAGCAGTGGGGATAAGAGGAAGGCGGATTAGGGTTCAGTTGTCTTGGCAACCTGAGATGCCATCTGTCATGTGTGTGCTGATGCACATCGTGTAGCTGAGACATTGTTTTTAATTAAATCATTTTCTCACTGCCAGGCAGGCCTTCTCAAACAGAACCTCCTGTCAGCATGTATTTACCAAGCAGGGTTGAGTTATTAGATGGAGTTAAAACTGTTGTGTTTTATAACATAAAGGGCTTTAAAACACAAAACTGAGCGACTGTAGATTCTTTAAAACAAAGATTTGACATTAAGGGAAAAACACTTCTTTACTCTCTTGCTAAGAGTTAAAAATGGTTAATATGATCATCTCTGTACGTTCAGTAAACGACTATAGCCAGCAGCTGATTAGATAATGGTTGAGATTTGTTGGCCTTCTTTTAAAATCTAGGCTGCGTTCCAGATGCTGAGGGACTATGTATTAACTCTGTGGGTGCTTCTGAGTCATTATTAAATCGGTTTAACAGGTCTTTAAAACATCATCAGTATATCCGCTATACAATACCTGCTCAAAGGCACATTGCTTCTTTAAGAGAGGCAGGATGTGATTCACATCCAGTTTAGCACTAACAGTTTCAGAAGCTTCTCGCCAACAACAATTCACTCGAATGGCGTGACTGTGTTTTCTATTTCAGGGGGTGTAGTTCAACAAGTATAACATTTTTTGATAATATCTAATCTTAAATGCATGTAGCATGAAGCAAGACTAAAGAATGAATACACACAGTCATTCATATTCACAAAAGCATAGGTCAGAATGAATGTTAACCAGTGCAAATGAGCAGGGGGGAGGCAGCGGAGTGTACTGATGGAGGGAGAGGGGAGTGTCTGAGAGATGTGGTGACATGAGGGACCCGTCTCCTGGGAGAGGGCGGCAAATGAACCAGCAGCCACACCTGGGACCCCCCCCCCCAACACACACACACACACACACACACACACACACACACACACACACACACACACACACACACACACACACACACACACACACGTACACACGTACGTGGAGGTAAGAATGATGCTGCTTCTGCTACTAAAAATGAACTGGAGGCAATGTAATTAAACCCACACGATCCTGGCAGCAGTAATCAAAATATTAATGAGCAAGAAGTATTACAATACATATACTTGTAATTACAGCTAATGAGAGCTTTATCTCTAGAAGATTGTTTGTTACTTTCTCTTTTGTTCCCCCTTGCCTGACCTCCTGTTGTTTTTTTGTATTGTAACAGCTTTTAATTTTATTAAAAGCTTGCTTTAATTTACATCCCCTTACCTGCCTTCTTATTTATACTGCTTTTGGGTCCGCAATCTACGATGTTTCACAAAAATTGAAAGACATATAGGGCCTAATGCTCTTTTTTTCTTCTCGATAAAACACTTTTCAAAAAACCAACATTGTGAAGTCTCCAGACGGACATCATATATTTTAATTAAAAGAGTACTAAAATAAACTATTGAATTAAGGAGACCACGCAGATTCAGTGTGGAGTATGAACAGTGTTTGACCTGCTTGTAAATCTTTTCATGTTCCTACTATGGAAAGTTGGATTTCAGCTGTGTTGCTACGGAAACCAAGTTTACTTTACCACACCAATAAAGTTCAACTTGAGCCAACTGTCATAGTTCTTCATAGTACAGTATACAACACCTCCGACAACTTTTTCTATTTAAACCTTTTTGCTCAAAACGTTACAAAGAAAACCCACCAAACCGGTTGTTTGTGTTGATTTTGTTCCACCTATTCTAACGTGTCTCCAGCAGTCTACCTTGTAAGCTGACACCACAGTCTTGCAGCAGGCGTGTACAGAGTGTGTGTTAAAAGTGACGGCAGCTTGCACCTTGTTACAGTGTTGTCTGTACTTACATGTGGAGGACCTGGGGGCGATGCACATCTGGCAGAGAGTGATGTGTGTATGTGTGTGAGAGGAAAACTGTGGTGGAGAACATACTGCGGGGACATTTTCATGAAAAGCAAATCTTTTGAAGAAACCGGCTGTTACTTTTATCATCCAGTAAGTACATTTACGCTTTTTGTTATGAAGTTATGATTGTTGCACCTGTTGGCAATTATGATGTTATAAAAAAAAAAACACATAGTAATGTCAATCAAATATCTATACAGATTTTCTCACAGTTTCTACCAACTTTTTCTAAATGTAAATGATAGTTTAAAATGTATTATTGTGTATAACAGGAATAACATAAATGTCAGATTCAACATAATTGGTCTAACATTATTGAAAAGTTCCTCACAGAACTGTTTAGCTTTACATTTACAGGATCTAAAGCACTGTTAATGTTTTATTTTTCCCTTTTTCTTACAGTTAATATTTTCTAAAATAAGTAGTTTAAAAAAAACAACATTCAGTCATAAAAGTGTGTTTGAATGTGAGTTATCATCACTTTAGCGCACAGTATATAAACACAGAAATGAATCCTCCAACATGTGCATGAGGTCTGGCCTCAGTAGCAAAAAAACGAAAGAAAATGTAGTCAGCGTCACTGAGTCAGAGCTCTCTCAATGAGCAGACTGTTCAGAGGTGATCATTGTTTATTTCATCAACCTCACACTGAAACAATCAATCAAAAAGGCTTTTACTTTTTTAAATCTTGTGCCAAAATGGTATTTTATTGTGTTTTACTGGACCTGGAGCACAGTAAGGCTCCAGTGTTCAGGGAGCAGCGGGTGGTCGACCTTTCCATCCTGTGTTGATATGAAGTTTATTTAGTCTAGCAGCAGCTGAAGGAAAGCACAGGGTGAGATGGTGAGAACAGAGCTATAGCTGAAACCTATTCTACTCATTCAATACTCTTTATTCATTCACTAGTTTTACATTACCTCTTTAAGCTGTACTACAAAGTGACACCTGAGACAGCTGATGGAAAAGCTACAGCTGCCAGCAGTGCTGTTGGACATCGACTGGAAGTTATTAATGATATTTTATGAATAGTTTTTTCAACAGAGTGAGAAATACTATCAGAGAGATACTGAGGCTTTGAAGACAAAAGCATAATGCACTAGCCTGCAAGGCAATACATTAACATTGCTTTGACTGAAATATGTTTGTAGAAACAGCAAGACATGTTCCAGACTGAAGAGATTATTCTTTCAGGGACAGATTTGCTTCTTTATTTCCTAAGTAAACATTAAGGCCCTGCCAATCATGTAAGAAAAACTGAATGTTGTTAACTAGTTGTGAAGTTAGTTGTTTACCAGACATGAGCTCTGATTTCATTCTTCTGAGTTATGCTGAAGGCCACATGAAACCAAATCATAAATCACTGTGTCATTTTACAGTGCGTGTTCAGGTATTTAAGCCAATGCCTCAGCTCAGATCTGTCATTTTGCACATATTTTTGCACACTGGTTTGTAATTGAAACGGTTTTCCCCCCCAACAACTGTTTTTACAGTGAAGATGTTTGCTTTTAAAAAACACAATTAGAGGCTGTAAAAAATACCACTGATGCAAATCTAATTTAAAGGCTGTGCAAAGTAATCGCAGTGAAATAGAAACATTTATACATGCATGGGCCTGTGTGTGTGTGTGTGTGTGTGTGTGTGTGTGTGAGTGTGTGTGTGTGTGTGTGTGTGTGTGTGTGTGTGTGTGTGTGAGTGTGTGTGTGTGTGTGTGTGTGTGTGTGTGTGTGTGTGTGTGTGTGTGTGTGTGTGTGTGTGTGGGTCCTGGTGTTTACAGACTTACCCTCAGTATATCAGGAGTATAAAGGCTTCTAGTGTCTGACAGCTAGGCCCTGATGCTGACCTTTGCCTTCCCCTTCCCTGCAGAGCCGTCCTGTAGCAGAGGTGTGATTATTGCACCTGGATGTTTTGTTAGAGACAGGAGCTCTCATGCCCTGCTGGTCAACCTGTAAACCAGCCTCAAACTTGGCAGGCAGCCCCCTCTACAATATACTCTGTCCAACGTCTACATGTTTTGTTTACAAAGGAGCCTTTTCACTATGTCCAGTCAGAACTGTGTGTCTACAACATCCCAACACAACCTAAGGACATAATTCACTGACGTATTTCCTCTGTTATCTTGTGCAAGGGATTTGTCACCTGCTCTGCGCTGTTATAAGGCAACAATACAACAAACTATATTTGAACTTGTAATGACATTCTACAACATTGAGCTACAGGTACTTTGCTGCAAAAACACAGGTGGTATACAACTAAATGAGCTCCGAAAGCCAGCTGTGATGCTACCTGTCTAGGTCCCAAACATCTGCCCTCCAGATGTTATTTTACTTGACTGTTCTACAAAAATAAAGTCTTTGTTAGAGATAAGACTTCCATTATAAATGCTAGCAGCTCAATTGATGGCAATGTGGCGTTGTACCTCAGTGGGCCTGTTCACTGGATGCTTTGCCATCAACATTTAACACAGACAGACAATACCCTGTTCCCTTCATGAGGAATTGTTATACATTTTCCCTCATCAGTGAATGAACATGTTTGTACATTTGGGTTATAGCTAAACTACATAGTATTTGGATGGAAAACAACATAATTGTTACTCATGTTAGCATTTTCCTCAAAGCCAAGCTGTACCTTACAACACAATGAAAGGTAAAATAGTTGCTGCCGTAACAACTTTCTTGAAGTTCCTCTTTCTTGTTGGCATCAGAGAACCCTACTGGCACTTTCTTTGAAACCAAAATTGCAGCCCATTGCATTGTTTTCGGTCTCAATTCCCGCTCAGTCTTGTTACTCTAACTTTAAAGTCAATTATCTGGCACAAACCAAGCCTCTGTCTCCACTGTATATATTACTCAGCAGATCCAGTGTCCTGCTGCATGTGTTGTTTTCTTAATTCCAGCTGATTAACAGCGAGTATTACTGGCAGTCGGAGCATGTCTCTGCATGGGGCTGAGCTTTATGATGGAGGCTGCTCTGGGAACAGGACAAATGAGCCATATAGCGGCACCGGGAGACTGGCTCAGGGCTGTAGTTGAACATATTATTAAACCTGCAGTCAGTCAGTTTAATCCATTTGATTAATGACTGTGTGTTGTTGTGAGTGTAGTGTATGTGCATGGAACCCAGGGTATGCATTTGGCTTGTATTCTTGCTTTAGTGCATGACAGCTCTGTATATTTAACTTAAAATAATCCATCATTCTTACTCTCAAAAACCATTATGCCTTGATTATTTATTGTTATCTTAAAGGATAGAAGCACATCTTTACAAGTCAATTTTCCCTTTTGGTTGTTAACAGCTGAACATGTCTGAAACAGAAAAGAGGGACTTTTGCCCTAAATGACTTTAGAAAATATCCACCTTTTTTGCACTGATGCATTTGTATTGTGTCCATAAATCCATTTACAGACAGTATGAAAAGTATAATCATAACAACAACTAACCTTTTTTTGGGGATATGGGCATGTCAGTATAATGTCTTCAGATAGAAAATTATAAAAATGTGCACGTATCCTTTAAGTTGAGGCAGCTCACTAGTGCATTAAATGTTTACAAAATGTCATAAGAAGCATCAAGCAAAGCATTAAGATTTACATGATGAACTTGTGTTTTATTTTAATTGTATTTGTGGTACAATTTCTCCTTCACTTTTTTTTATCACTTTCTATTAATTGAAAGCCTCCCATGTGTTAGATCCTTACATGTTGTCTCACTTGTGATTTGTAATGGTCTGTTTCTTAATGTGGTACCAAGGTCTCTTAAAAGACAAACCAGGTTGGACTAAGTTCACCATTGACTAGATTCACCATTGACTGTTCACCATAGGACTCGCGCAGAATTAAGAAACTCAGACATGCAATGCAGATTTCAGCTCAGTTGATTTAAATTCTTGATTGCTAGCCAAATCTTAAACTCTCCAAATTGTGATCTTTAATTTGGTCTAGGGTCCCTCAAAGACCGACAGACGTCATGGACAGTGAAGTGGAAACAGGGAACAGCAGCCTTGACAGCCCGATGCACCTGACTGGGCTGGGGATGACCTGTCTTCTTGGTCAAAAGTACCGTCACTCTGGGCCGGGCCTCACCAGTCCTCAGGAGTACAACCAGTGGCTACCTTACCGCCACGACGCCAGCCTGATGCCCATGAAAGAGGACCTGGCCCTCTGGCTCAACACTATCACCGGTGAGATAGATTTCCTTCATTGATCCTCATGCAAAACTCATGATAACCACCCAGAATGGATACATAGTGGAAAGATTCCTGTTCAATAATTGTATTCCTCCCTGCTCTACTGATGAATACCTCTTGATAGTATGAGTATGGGCTTTTATTTTAAAGAACAGGTTAAAAAACATTAAACACAGAGGCAAATTAACCTACTTATTAACCCAAATCCTTGAAATACCTCTCCATGGGGGTGTGACTCCAGGGTAAGGGATGTATCCTCCACTTTACTGCATTGTGAGAGAAAACATAAAGGTAGCACATGCCACAACCTGTTGGAAAGTGTCTGTAAAGTGAAAAGCCCCTGTCAGGATGAGTTTATGACTGATACTACAACAAAAAAAGCTTGTGGGCCAAAAAGATATACAGATTCATTTTCAGAAAAGTGCTTTTGGTAACTTGATATTTTGTAAATCCATTAATTAAAAATACATTTAAATAGTAACAATGTTGTCTTCCTCTTGATATCAAGAAGACCCTGTTTACTTTGTTTAAATGTGTTTGTTTGTAGTACGGCTCCTGCCCCCCCCCCCCCCCCCTCCCTATGAGCCCACTGTGCTCTGATTGGTCAGCTCGCCCACTCTGTTCTGATGAGTCCACCACCGTTACAGCGGAACATCAGTGATTATGTGTTACAATAGCGTTTGTTAGCAACCAGGACATGACACCAGTAATGACAAACAGATGAGAATGCTGCGTGGGGTCTGGGTGCCATGTTGGCGGGACGTTGCGGGGATTCGATGCTGCGAGGAGCGGACAGTGTGAGCTGGATTACTGGGGTCGTTTCCTGGTTGCTGCGTGGGGTCTGCGTGAGTGTGTGTGTGTGAGGAGCCGTTACGTCACTATGCCCGTTTACGTCACTTTACTCAGGAAGAAAAAAATGGAAAAAGAAAAATCTCCAACGAGGTGTTCTGGGGCAGCATAGACAGGTCTTTTCTGTGTTAGAGTTTTACGATCGACCGGTCGCATGGCATTTAAAAAAAAAAAGAAGTGCGCCGCACTATGATGCGCTTATGCGGCGCAATTATTGTCCGCCGTTTAGTCCACTAGCACCCCCGCGCGCTTGCGACACAGATTGGGCAGGGGCGGCCCTGTAGGTAGATCATTTGGGCTTGGTCATTTTAAAAGTAGCTCCCAAGCTGAAAAAGTGTGGGCACCCCTGGTTTACATGCATAAAAAGCTACATAACACACAAGGGGACGGGTAATAACCGGAAAAGCATGACATGGGACCTTTAATGTCATGCATGTATTATGAAGTGTGGGTTAAATATTATTTAAAAAACTCCTTTGAAAGATTTAGATATTTGGAAGTAAAATTTGTCTTGAGTTACTGTATGAATCACTGTACATAATGCGTGTGTGTGTGTGTGTGTGTGTGTGTGTGTGTGTGTGTGTATGTGTGTGTGTGTGTGTGTGTGTGTGTGTGTGTGTGTGTGTGTGTGTGTGTGTGTGTGTGTGTGTGTGTGTGTGTGTGTGTGTGTGTGTGTGTGTGTGTGTGTGTGTGTGTGTGTGTGTATCCTCAGGTGAAGACCTCATAGCAGACAGTCTGATGGAGAGGTTAGATAACGGCGTTGTTCTCTGTCAGCTGGCACAGCTGGTCCAGGACAAGATGATGCACACCAACAATGGCAAGGTGCTGCAACAACACAAACGCACGCACACACTCACTGGATACGTACAATAGGTCTTTGAAAGATCATGTTCCTGATATGACGTGCAAAAACATTTTAAATCAAATGTTGTTGAAAACAATTACAGCCTTTAATTAGAAGAGTGATCCACTGGCGAGCAGATGCAACTTCTGGATCATTCTTCGCCCGAGACAACACTGCCAATTTCCTCTACTGGTGTCGAAAGATTGGCATGGATGAGGCTTACCTTTTTGAGTCAGAGGATTTGGGTGAGTTAAGACTGGAGATTAGGCCAAACATTAGGGATTTAATTGTGCTCTAAAGTGCATCATGTCATGCAATACTTAATTAAACTGAAACCCTTAGACTTTTAGTTTAATCTCACAGAGGTATAAATGATAAAAGAAGTAGAAAGGGCTGTTTCTAGGCATCTCAGTGTTTGTGTCTACTGTAGCCTTATTATTGTGTGAGAACTTCCTGTTCTTTATGTGTCTTCTTCAATCTTTCAAGTCCTTCCTTAAGTATAGTGCTTATATTTTAAGGGACAAATCCTGTAACTGTCTTCTCTCTTTTTCACCTCCGACCCTCTGTCAGAATAAATGTAATACACTTAGCATAACTTATCTTATATGTCAAAATATATTATATTGCGGATCGTTCCTTACTGATAAAATACATAAATGCATTCATTTAAATTTGCTTGGACCAGCAATTAGTTTTAAATCAAATCATTTGTGAGCATTTTTTAATTTTCTGATTAATTGGTGTTATTGGTCAATTACAAAGGTTTTACTTCTAAAACTCAAATAACTCAATACAGGGACATTTGATCCACCTATGATATGGGCTGTGACATTTTAAAAGTGATGATTGAACATTTCTATGCTTTCAGACTCCCTGCCTTTTCTTTCTTACACCTTTGTGTATATGATGCTTCATGTGCCAGAGAACATAAAACCCTTCAAAATGCTAACGTCGTTCTGTAAGACCCCTCTATATGCACTTCTTATTGGGCATGTCTACGCAGGGCGGCCAATGCGTGAGAATGATAATATACAGGTTAACCCCCCCCCCCCCTCCCCCTGCAGACAGACTCACCTTCTGTACGTGACTAATTGAGTGACGGCTAGAATACACTTACAGGACTCTGACAGGCTTCAGTTTTCTGCCTCAATGATATGAAGGCAGGGATGATTATTATTTTTTTCTCTCCTCTTATCTCTTTTTCTTGCTGCAGCCATGATGATGAGGGTAATGGTGGATGTCAAATACAGGTGAATGAATATAACATATAATTATAGTGGTAGTGACAGTCTCAGCTCATATATTTTTTTAGATGTTTTGTTTTCTGTTGTTTTGTGTGTTGTTGATATGTTAAACTGTACCTCATTTTATGCATGCTTAACCTTAAACAAATCACCTAACTAGGACGTAGAGCCCCCTTTTCAATATACAGACAGTAGACAGTAGAGAGCAGGAGGCAGGAAAGGTTGACTTGTTTATGAAGCTCTCGTGCCCTCATGCCCTCAGCTGCACCTCCACAGGAATTCCTGCTCAGCTTCAAAGACAGTGATGCACAATAGAGACGGAACAGCTCCTGCCCTCTCTGTTCAGACTGCGGCTTCTACTTTCCTTTGACACAGACAAAAGTCTATCTCTGAAAACATCTTTCCTTTCAGATGAGTGACCTTTTTTTTTTTACTTCTACCCCTCCACCCTCTCTGTTTGTTTTTCCTGCCTGTGCTATTTGAAGTCCTCCACAAGCAGCCTCGAGAGGTGTGCCTGTGCCTGATGGAGCTGGGCCGGATTGCAGCCAGGTAACTGCCCTACCCGTGGTTCAGATCCTGATAAAAAAACATTGAAAATTCAATCACACTGAGCAGGAAACTTTCCCAGCACAAACAATCACAATATCCATGACATTACATATTACATATCATTTCGCTGAGGCTTTCATCCAACGTGACCTAATAAGTGCAAAACCATAAATAATCTAACTCTGAACAACAAGGGAAGTGCAGATGAATTCACTTCAAGCTAGATCGTACCATAGTAAGTGCTGGTGAATCAGTTACAAGGCCTACAATTTTGTATACGTTTTTTCAGCAATCACTTAATTGGTACAGTCGAAATAGATGTGTTTTCAGTTTGTGGTGGTAGATATGCCAGCATAGCAAACAGGTGTTTTTTTTAGCGGTACCTTGTTCCCACCAGTGACGGAGTAGCAAGCCGATAGCCGATACATCCCATATCACGATGTTAAATACTTAAGCTCATTAGTCTTTTCTTGTGATGCATGTTGCTTGCAGGAGTATCAAGTAGAAACATCCCTGTTTGGTGTGGTTTGGTGCTGATTTGTCCTTACGATTGCTGATATATTTGTTGAATCTCTCTCTTAGGTACGAAGTGGAGCCTCCCGGGCTGGTGAAGATAGAGCGAGAGATAGAGCGGGAGGAGGCGGGGTGCTTATCTCCATCATCCCCTCTGCCCCTGTCTTTTTTTCCTCCTGCATCTTTCTATTCACCATCACAATCGTCCCCACCCCCTGCTCCCTCTCCTCCACCTTCTCCTCCTGCACCTGCGCCCCTCACTCCCAGCACAACCTGTGTGTGTGAACCCCTCGCCTGTGATCTTCCATCAGCCACAACAAACCCAGCAGCTACATGTCAGTCCTCCCTCTCAGCCTCTGACCCTTGTACAACCACAGCCTCAACACAAACGCCTTTGTTCTCTTCATCCTGCACCACTCAAACATCTGCTTCAGCTCCATTGTTAGCTCCTTCGCCGGGACAAAGCCTGCTTTCCACTCCCAAAGTCTTCTTCACCACAGTGAACAACCACACTCCCAAAGCTACACCCCCCATCAACTCCCCACCTCCTCGTTCCTCCTCTAGCAGAACGAAGAGCAGGAGGAGCACAGGCACCAACGACATTTTGGATGATATTGTACGTATTTTGTTTCCAGTGAAAGTAACCTTATTTGAGCTACCAGATGTTAAAGGTGTATCATTTTTCCTCTCTCTGTCTAACCTCAGGTGAAAAACATTATCGAGAATCCCCCCTGCAGCTGTCTAACCAGGTTCCTCGTTGAGAAGCAACCTAAAGGCTGCTACCGTGTTGGAGATAAAGTTCTCTATATAAGGGTGAGTATTGTAATGCTTAACCGTTCCCTTAAAAATTGTGTTTATAATTTTAAGAGAAACAGTATGCTGCCGTGATAATATTTTATTTGAAATAGTGAGTTTTGTGTATGAACATCTTTTCAAGGTTTGTTCAGAGCCAATTATTGGTGATACATTGATACACAAGGTATATTTAGCTGTAAATTACTTTAAAACATAGGCTATGGGAGATTAGACACATTGGTCTGGTTAATCTAATGTTTGGAATTATAACATGATACTTTGATACCAGCAGAAATGTAAACTCTGATGGCTCACCAAGTGAAGATGCGTCAGAGGCTACAACACAAAATGAGATGTGGGTGCTGAGTCCCCCAGGTTATTAATCAACAGCTGAGTCAGCGACAAGTGCAGTGTCAGAGCCACTGATTAGCAATCTTTGGGATGGAGACGTCAGAGGCTTTCAGCCTCCCTGAGTCGTGCACCACCCTTGTGCGTCTGTACAAAGGCTCGAGGAATGGCCTTCGGGGAGGCAGGGTTGCTTGGCAACCAATGGTCAGGATAATACAGGGCTGACAGGATTTTATTCAGTACGTAGACCTTCAGCAAAGAGTTCAAACCTGAAGAAAACACACGTCTCTTTCAGGATGCAAAAATATGACCGTGGTGTGCAGATTTAATGGCAGCCCACTCATGTGTGGAGGGTTTTTAAAACAAGAGGAAGGTTTAGGTTCACTCTCCACCCATCCATCTATACAAGGACAGTATTACAGCCTTAAAGAGTATTTAGTATTTGTAACCTATAAGTTCAGGCATTATACATAAATCCATTAAAAAAGTACATGCTGTAAAACAAAACATTTTTATTTTGTTTTGATATAGCACACAATGTCACAATGTATACATCTAGATTACACAAGTCACACAGAGGTGTATCACAGCCTTGGTGGCTAATTGGTCAGGAGTTGAAACCCATGTAATGGTTTGTTAACTGTATTGACCCAACACTTTCTAAACTGGTAATCAATGCTGTCAGCATCTGTTTGCTAACAACAGAGTGACAGCTACATTTCTGACTGGCTGACAGACAACATGTATTTACATCCTATTCAGGAAATAATGCCGTCTTTAGGTCACACAACACCTGTTTTCCAAAGCAGACCTGTCAACCATGAAAGCATATGTTTGAAGACCAGATCAAAGAAAGGCTCAAATAAGTGACAACTAAAGCGTGATAATACTGTAGGAATATATGAGGGTCAGGTCCAGCAGAATGCAAGAAAAATCTAATCGTCTTTTTTTCACATTTCAATATCTCAGCTATTTGTTTTCCCACCCTGTCTCAAATATCGACCTTTTGTGCTCACCTTCTCTATGCAGGTAAAAGGTTTCCCCATAACTCTGTGTCCATCTGTCAGTTTTACGGCATAATTACTAGTTTGTAGAGACTACTTGCACTGCTCTCTTCCCTTTTCTCGGACACACCTCAGCTGTGAATGGAGCGCTGCAGCCCATCGACCCTGACTCCATCCATATACCTTGAGCTGCCTACGTGTGCAGGGAAACACGGCATAAACCTCAATTACCATATAGCACGATAACCTCCGGCAGCTCCTAGGAGAGCGTGCCATTCAATGTGTACAGACCTTTTTAAAGAGCAGATACTATTGATTACCGAGACAAAGTCATTAGTGAGGGGTTTAATCAGTAAGCTTGTTAATGTGCGGCAGAGCATGACCGCCCCTCATCACGTGTAACCCCCCCCCCCATCCCTCTATTCCCTCTGGAGTCTATTCAATCCCGCTGGCCCTGGAGTGCTCCACCATTCTTTGGTGCTAAAAAAGAGGAAGGCTTTTCTTTCTTCTGCGCGCCCAATTAGGCTCTCCTTCGGCTTTGTAGCAGCGAGCCTGTCTGATTGTGTGAATGGAAGAAAAAGACATTAGAACACCTCACAATATCATGCTGCATACATTCTTTGTTTATCATGCGATAGATGAACTGAAAACCATCATGTTGTGAAGACTGGAGGCAAAATCTGGACCAAAATGAGGAAATCGTTTGCATTTTGGTCCTTTATCATCTTCCTTCATTAGGCATTCTTAAGTCAGACATTTACTCCACAGAAGACCCAGTGTCTTCGTTAGGCACCTTGGCTTTTGACCTTACAATAGAGTGAGACTGCAATTAGGCATATTGGTCCTTTAAACTAAATGCATAATAGTGGTAATGCTCTCATAATGATGAGCAGGTATAACATTTGCCATCTTCTCAATATTTGTTTGGTGTATCATGCTAAATTATGCTAACTAGAACTCACTAAAGACAGCTTATGCTTATAGAAAGTCATTTGGCAGGTATTTTGTCATTATATAAATAATTCACTTCAGTTATTTCAATTCATCCTGAGGGTAACATGAATGTCTGTTATATTATACATAATATTTTACGACATTTCACCCAAAAACACCAATCTGTAACTTTTCTGTAAAAAACAACTTGCCTCACACCGCTCACAACCCTTAACACTCTCTAACAGGAAAGAACAAGTAAAAAAACGTCAATAATGAATCACTTTTACTTTCAGATATAGCAATGGTTTGTCTACAGACTAATGTCCTTTTAACACACAGTAGCCCACATACAGTATGCAGTATTCAAAATATACTTTTTGTTTCGCATACTGCAGCAGGAATAGAATCTTAGATAATAAATAAGATGCTCATAAAGTGAAATGATGCATGTTCTGTCTCCTTACAACATTTTAAAAAGAACCAACTAGAGCAGTGCATGTGGCTAAAGCCTGCCTCCTACTGGCCGGTGTTTGAATGACTATTCCTCTATGCTCATGCATCTTTCAGCAGAAAAGCAGAGATGGAATCAATGGAGCTGCCAGGGAGGACACAGGGGAATCCAGACGGTAGTTTATGGGCTGCAGACGTAGCACACTCTGTACGGAAACCCGACGGGGGAGGGGGGAGTTGTAGAGACAGAAATAAAGGAGTCTGCCTGACAAAGAGGGCTTGTGTTGAATATTACAGTGCAGAAAGAGGTTTAGGCACTAGTTGTGATGTACATAATACAGTTAAATATAGCTATAGAAACATTCAAATCATCAAAAAACATTTAATATTGTAGCTTTATTTAATCAGTTACGAGACCTGAGAACCAGAAACAGTCAGAAAAGCACACATTATTAAAATATTCAATTTCAAATAATCAAGCAACCTTATTTAACTATAAAGGCATAACTCTATTTTTTAAAAGGAGGTGGGTAAAAAAAAAAAAGGTGAGTTTGTGCAAAGAAAATATTTACATTTAACTGACACTGTTGTAGAAAGCTGTGTTCATTCATATTTTATTTCTTAAAAGGCAGCTTTGCCTGGAGAGTGCATTTTTGAGGATGAAGTCAGGATTACATTGCCTGCACGTCTGACAGGAAAGTGTTTTATTATAGATGTCAGACTTGACCTCGTGCAACCTCAACATTTTAATCTGCAGGATGACAGCTGAGACGGAGCGCGTCTGGGTTTCCTCTGTAGCTGCATGTGTCGTGTGTGTGTCAATGCTTGTACCATGGCTTTTTCATCCCACACGTGACACACACCTCCCCACAAGCAGAGTAGATCTGCTTGTATTATCACATTCTTAATGGCTCCATAATGAAGGGTTTATTGGCGATAAGGCAGGAGGGGGTGAGCCGTTGCTGACAGGACAACGGATGGCTTTGCAAGGCCTCCTGGGAATGTTAATGCCTACTGGGAGTTGAGGGTCTGTGCTGAACTCATCTCAATTTCTCCTTTCATTTTTTTTTTCTCCAGGCTTTATATTGTGGCTGTAGTTGCCATAGCAGCGGTTGGTTTTCAGCTGTAAGGGCGGCTGTCTTTGAAGGATGTGTTGAATCAGATGCAGCTGACCTTTCTGCTGACTGCTAAAATATATACTTTACAGTCGTCATTTTTTAAATTCAAAATACTGTTTATCAGGTGGTTTGTGTTGCAGATCTGTGTGGGTGTGCCTTTGTGCGTCACTGCATGTGTGCGTATGTTCGTATGTGGATTTGTCCTGCGTGTGTGCTCAGCTGGTGCCATGAGGTGTTGTTTCATTTGCTTTAATGAGATTTTGACAAAGCTATCCGAGACATAATTTGCCTTTCATAACCAGAGCTACAGAGGCTTGTAAATATTAGATTGGAGTGTGTGCGTGTGGAGAGGGGGGATCTGCTTTTCATTTAATTGAGAATTCTATTCATAAACACATCCTGGAAGTAAATATATGCAAACACAAATGTCTCCAGCGTTCCCTTCTTGACTGTGCTGTCTTGTGTCACCTTGGCAGATGCTGAATGAGCGCCATGTGATGGTACGTGTAGGCGGGGGCTGGGAGACCTTCATAAGTTACCTGCAGAAACATGACCCCTGCAGAGGACCGGTGGGCAGACCTGAGGTCAGGGTCTGCAGGGTCAAAGCCAAGCCCCCCAATCTGAACATCTCACCTGACAGCTACATGGTGGTGGGGGTCCACTGCCGTAACAAGAAGTAGACTCTCAAACTCACTCTCACTTTAGTAGCCGCGAACATTTCACTTACTGTAGTCAAACCAAACTGTACATGGTCAATGATCGTTTTTTAATTCAAGTTTAAAAGAAAATCCAACTTTTTCTATTGAATATGCGAGATATGATGTCCTTATCTCATTTGATCTGTATGAGTTACCCAACCTACTGTAACAACTTGGCAGTGAAGCTGCATTATTGCATTATGAGTCGTTAAAGTAAATTAATTGGTATCTATTTGAATTCTCTTTTAATCGTCTAAGTCAAGAAAAAGAGTGAGTGCTTCCCCTTTGTTGAGACTTATATGATAATAAACACTATATCGTTGGGTGGGAAGTATTGTTGAATAAAAGCAATCTAAATAGATGACTCAGGGCTGAGACAATTCTTCACTATTTTCTGACATTTATAAGACTAATATGAAATTGAGAATATTATGAAATATTTATCAATCATGAAACTAATTTTCCGCTGCTGAACTATACAGGACGTTTACAATAATGTCAATATGAGTTAAATAAGACATTTGTCGTTCAGTTTATAAAATATGTGTTTATGGTACTGTAGTATATATTTTTTATTTCTGAGCTTTTGTATTTTGTTCTCGCAGCAGTTTGAGTAGTAGTCGTTGAGTAGTGATTTTTTTGTATTCTATGTGGAGGTATGTTTGTGTATTTTACTGGATAAAACCTGTGTTACAAATAAACTTTAAAAACATGGATCTTTGGTGTTTGGAAGATACTAATTCTTGTTTGTCTTAAATTACAGCTCATAACATTTATTTTTGAATTCATCATGCTATGTCATGAATTTAATATTCTCCAACATTTAATGGATACAAAACGTTATTGTGTATTTCTTGTCACTTTTACATTATGAGCGTGTAGCATACATTTCCTTTCCTCAGGCTTTAAGAGGTAAAGACACAAACATCAAGTCCTCCCTCTAGATGGCACCATGTCCTAAGTGACAAAAGGCCAAGCCTCGCCTCCATGTTCATCTGGAGGAGGGCGCTGTCATCCCTGGGACATTAATCTCTTATGTAGACTGGAAATCGGTTTTCAGTCCCATAAACTACCTCATGCCCACAGATAGTACAGCACTAAACAAATCGATGTCTCATCAGCACGATTTGGAGAGTCACATATTCAATGTTTCAAGATTAAAGGACAGTTAGTGGGGAAGATTCACAAGCAAGTGTACAACTTTGGAGAGCTGAAACTGCAGAAAACCACACTTTAGTAATTACATGTTTTATTTCAGTAAAATAAATTAATCAAAAATGGACACAAGTTTTAATATATTGAAAGAAACTAACTGTAATGAGATCATGCAAGACTGTAATGTCTTTTTAGTTCCCACATAACATCTGTGGATTGAACCAGTATAAATGACTTGTAGAAAATAATAGCTGTGCTACTGAAACAAGTGCCACTCTGAACGGAGGCGTTTTCACAGGGCATCGCTCATCGCACAGAGTACATTTCTATGTTCCTCATGTAAAACAGAACAGACGGAAATTGCCACTTGAAAGGGATTTTACAACAATTTGAAATACATTGTTACACTGTGCTTACCTCATTTGTTCTTTAAAGCATCATTTTGTAATGTTATGTCAATCTTGCTACTGTGTGCTTCTGTTATTCTGTAATGTAACTCAAATCAATTGCAATTTTTTTTCTTGAAATACAGACATTTAAATGATGTTGGTTTACTTGAATTGTACCATTTTAGATATGGGGGGGGCGTAAACATATGCTTTAATTTTTTTTCTCGTAATATTCTTCCTGCACATGTGCAGTGGTGGCACTGTACTGGAAATGTCAGATTTCCAACTATAATACACAAAAAGTTAGAGTAAGAGTTGTGTGCAATTGTGCTTTAGTCCTAAACACATTATACTTGCACCATGTACTTATACATTACATGTTACTGCTTACAGTAATACTTAGATTACTGCGCATCAGTTTGGGTGTGAACTTACAACTTTATAAAACCAAAACACCAAATAGCATTGCATTCTGTGAGTCGCAGGATGCCAGAAAGTACACTGACTCAGTTGTTAGTGTAATGTCCACAAATATAAATATTATTATATTTATGGTATGTCCTTGTTTCTGGCATACATATTTTCACAATAAGAGCCTAGACCAACTGACCCTAAACACACAACATTGTATGAACCCAAACTCTTTGTAAAAGACACAACAGGGTGCTTATTACATGCTCTGATCATCTTTAGCTCCTGTTTGTGACCTAGCAAACATATAATGTATAACTCAACCTGCTCAGACTTTAGGTGTACAGGCTTTTATGAGACCCAGCAAAGTGCAAAGATTCAACAAGACACTGTAGATACATTTTTCAATCATGCCTCAGGTAATTTCCTCGACTTCTGAAGAGTGGTAGCCTCGTGAGGAGGTTAATGGTGATGGTGAAAGGACTGAACATCACACACAGTGTTATTAACACACATTTGAACACCTTTTTTTCTAAGAAAGTTAATAGCTGATAGAATATCTCATGACTCGTCTTCAGCAGTTTATAAAAACATCATCACACATGGCTGTAATATTCTTGTTAACTTGTAGTGAGTTTGAAAACTGAAAAATAAATGACTTCTAATGACTGGGGGGGGGAAATAATATTTGCCTAACAGAAAACTGGCTGCTGTGAGTTATCATCATCCACAAGTGTCACCGAGAGAATTGTTACCTTTCCATTTAACACAGTTTACATGCTTTACTCTGTGGCCTCATCCATACCCCATACTATGAAGTGCACACTTTTGTAAGTTAGTATACAATAATAGGTGTGTTTTACTGATTTGTACTCATCACACACAATTTGTTCGCCACACCTCAGCCCTGTTAATGAAAATGGCACTTTCCACTTGTTAGTTTGTTGTTTTCTAAATGTTGTACATTAACACAACACTTGAAATCGAGTCATATCATTATAAACACTTCATTTTCTTGTTTTCCCTGTGACAGCGCACCCCAATTAAGTATTTGGAATACAGCTTTTCAGTTACATAACTTCAGTCCTCTCTAAATGACTATTTGTGCTTTTTCGACATTAATTTGGGAAGTATTTTTTATCCAACCTTTGAATCACAAGTAGTATGCATAGTACATAATATACACTTCACAATTTAGTAAGTGAGTACACATTCAATACTTAATGCTGAAGAAACGATACAAGATGTGTTCCACACATCAATCAAATTGGGAATTTAGATTGCCTGGTCAATCTTAAGCTCAAAATCAAACATTTCATGTTTCATTATGCCCATGTACTTTTTCGTATAAAGCTCCTCCATTTCTAGCGCTCATTGCAGTAAGGTCAATATATTCAGCTTGTTCAATTTTGTAGCGAGTAGTGACCCAAATTGTGGCCAATATATGAGGACACTTTGGCCCTCTACCAATGTGTGATGTTACTACGAGTGCAGAGGAGGATTTGCAACACAGATTGTGCTTCTGTTTTTAGCGACATCGATGAAGTTGCATTTTTCCCTCTAAAATGGCTTAACTTGCTTGTATTACCCTTTAAAGGCTGACCAAAATTGAAAGCAAATAATGGAGCAATGAAATACTTCCTTTACAGTTTGGTTTCTTGCTTTGCTCCATCAGCAAACAAATGGGTTGCGTCTGTCAGTTTGGTACCACAAAATACTACTGAATCCAATAATGGATTAATCCTCAAACCACCGGCCTGTGACTCTTTATCCTCTCCTCACTGTATGCCATCACCTCGAAACAAACAGAAAACAACCTTTCTTATTCAAAATCTACACAAACAATGATCTGGATCTACATAGAGATGCCTTTGTACATATAGACTCTTTAAAGAAGCATCAAATTATTTTCTTTTCAATGAAGATTTACTTTAGTGTATTTTATGTAACTGACACGCTGTTAGATCCATTCTGTGCTCTGCAGAGGCTGCAGACGTCAACTCCGGGGCTCATGTTTGATATCAGTTAGTGTGCTACACCAAAGATAAGCAATGGGCAGTCAACGGCCGATTTTTTTTTCATTACGAACAATAACACAGCACACATCACTCGACTGAAAGAGGAATTCTGACAAGACGCTCAGGCCTGATGTGTGTTTCTTTTTTTCCATATGGAGGATTTCTTCCATGATTCATCCAGAGTAATTGAGTATGTGTGGAAAAGTATGTTCTGGTGTGTGTGTGTGTGTGTGGAAAAGTATGTTCTGGTGTGTGTGTGTGTGTGTGTGTGTGTGTGTGTGTGTGTGTGTGTGTGTGTGTGTGTGTGTGTGTGTGTGTGTGTGTGTGTGTGTTGCATGGGAGTGTTTGTGGCTTTATGTTTAAAGAGAGCACCATTTTAAGACAAATATTCTTCAGGGAAAACAGTCACCTTTAGATTGCCATGAAGTCAGCAAGTCAATCATCTGAACCAAAAAAAAGTCTTATTTGTGCTAAGAGAGCGTTGCTCCAGTCTTACGTTACTGTGGGTGTTAGTCTTGGTGTTCCTGGAGGTCCCTCTGGGATTTTTAAGATTAGGTGTGTGAAGTTTGTTGTTCGTTTGCTCCTTCGGTCATAACTCAGGCACACTGAACACTGAAAGGAGATGGCAATGTCGAGGGTGGTGTGAGATGGTGATCAGACAAAAAGGGTCTCAGAGTTAACATCAAGGTTGGAAGGGTGTGGTTTTGTGCGTTCGGTGGGTCAGACGCTGCACGACGCCTCTGTCACACGGTTCCATTCTCCTGCCTCGGCTTGTGGGGTGTTGTGCGAGTGGGCGTGCTCAGGGAAGGGGCCAAGGTGCAGAGGAAGCCAGCCAGCAATGTGAGGCCCAGACCCCCCCAGGCACAAAACATGGACCAGCCATAGCCATGGCTAATGTCCTCAGGCAGGCCGTACATGTAGCGGGGGTAGCGGGATAACTCAAAGTTGATTCCTGCCACACATGTGCATAAGGAGATGATGCAGCATGTTCCTGTGTGAGCAGAAGAGACAAGCAGTGATTTAAAAGGGTTTCAGTTTGAATACTTGATCCTTACATGTGCTGTACATCTTACTACAGGACAGGAATCAGGTTACTGCAGGTCATTGATCTACTACCTCATGCTAGACCAAAGACGCTCCTAGCTGTCAAAAAATAACAACAGAAATTGAATAGAATTGGATTTTGTATGCATATGTGTGTGTGGATGTGTGCATATGTGCTCTGACAGTACCTCCCATGAGAAAGAGTAGCCCAGCTACATATTGCATGAGGTCATGCTGCTGGCAGCATCCCAGCACTCCGATGATCCAGCCAAAGAGAATGATGGACACGGCCATTCCCACAAAGCCCGCCGTCATTCTTCTTAGATCTGCAGGCAGACAAAATGTCACCACTGACGAGTGAAACTGAAGACTTTTTTCTACAACTGATTTTGCATTGTGGTAAAGCTGGAGTCTGTTGCCGTCAAACTCCAGAGCTGATGGAAAAGCATCCATCACTCTATCAATATCAACATTTCCTTGCACATTTTCTTGAAAATGTACTAGGAAACAGAAAAGGAATTTGTAAGATCTTTGAGAAAAAAGAAATCAAATGAAACCCTTGCAAATACTAATTCTCTAATCGTTATGTTTGCTAAAATGTTTACTTAACTGGGGATACATTTCAGATGTTTCCATATTTAACTGACCCACTGGTCACTAATTAAAAAAATGTCTATATTATTTTCAACAATTAGCTTGTGTTTAATGAAAAAAAACACTGTCTCTGTTCCCACTATAGCCAGAACCAGTACTAGTTAGCTTGACCTCAAAAATATTTAAAAAAAAAGGAGGGTACAATTGTAATGGATGCAAATTATATATACAGTAATAAGCATAGAGAGTATATAGTTTGGGTTTGCATGAATGCTAATAAACGAAAATAGGAACAAGAATACAAATATTGACTTAGCTAAGGCTTTGGTACAGCATGTTTTAAACAAAACACATCATAGCAGGAAATCATACTGCTGAAACCAAAGCTCAACCACCTTCATCAATATGTATTTGGACAGGGTTATCAAGTAAGAAAGACAAAAGTGTCCAAGTGTTTCAAGAGGAGATTTTAAAGACACTGATCAGTCAGACCTATTGTCCTCAGATAAGCCACTGTGAAGCTGACGGCTTCCTACTAAAGATGATATGATAACCTCTGGTCATGAGTGTAGTCGTGGAAGAGAAGGGTTTAAAAAGTCAGTGATATATTCAGGAGCGAGGGGCAGTGTAATCATTCAAACTATCCTTAACATGTAATTAATGTAAAGAGACTTTTATTCTTGTGCTAGTTAAAGTTAACCTTGCTGCTGCATCTGTAGATGAACGATTGGAAATATCTGAAGGGAATGGCAGCAGAGGAAGAAAACAGCATTCATTTATTTCACATTATATCTGTAAAAAAAAGAAAACAAACAAAAAAGAAGGCTGTTTTGTAAATGTCTTTGAAATGTAAAAAAACAACTATTTTGATTTAATCTAAAAATGTACCTCTGTTAGAGCCGAGTTTGCACACAATGTGATTAGGAGGAACATGTAGAATAAAAATAAGACGGGGCCAAAAACCATGCCTTGAGGAACGCTAGATTTAAGTCGACTAAAGCCCTGAATGCAAGTGGCAAGAGGATAACATTGGAAATGGTAACTAAATATGTATTAGGTGATATGTGTGTCATATCTAATTAAGTATTGAACGATGAGATGTTTGTTCATGGTTACCGTAAACTTTTTTTTAACGCTTAAAAAGTCAATTAAGTGAATTGTTAGTTAAAAACAGTCAAAACAGAAACCAGAACAATTGCTGTGGATAACTACAAACATTTTTAAAAACAGATAATCAGTGGCTAATTTAATTCCACCACCTCTATATCCTCCTGGGACCCAGCCCATTGCAAATGTCCACTGTAGTGGAAATCTTGTTAACATGCATCTATCAATCCCTGATGTACTGTACAGAGGACATCCTGGTCTTTCCAGTGATATGTCATTGGTTAAAATTGCATGCTGGGAAGTTCCTCTTTCTTTTCATCCAAAATGGCTGGCATACCAAAAACAAAATGTTATAGAAGCAGGAGGAGAAGTCAAATATTGTTGAATAATTGTAATCTTTTCCATTAAATCATATATGTTCTTGTTTATTAACATGTGAGGAACTATATAATTAGTTCTGAAAGCAATTCAATAATTCAAGTTTTCAAATAACAGCTCTTTTATAAATGTCCATTCTAGTGGACGTCAGGACCGTCTTCATGGACTTAATGACTCAATATTGTTGCAGGAGACGGAACTGAAGCAGACATTTTCTGTATCAGATAGTTAAGGGAGATTAAGATTTTGAGCTCTCAGATGATGAGAGAGATGAGGATTTCACACCTGGGATAGAAGAGGGTCAAGAAGAAACGGGGGGAAAGATGCAGCAGGCTCCATGAGCGCACAGATACAGATATAGAGACAGATAGGGACGAGCTGGAAAGACATGGCCCTCTGTGGGCCAAGAGAAGCACGTATGTCTTATTGTTGTTTTTATTTTAAGTGGAGCCATGACAAATGAGAATTGCCTCAGGAATGCAAGCTTTGTTTCTATGAGCATGGTCAAATGGAGACCACATCCATAAAACTAGTCAAGATGACCCTACAGCCCGTGCCGACTGGAGTCAATGAGGTACTTTTCCCACTACTGACTACAAAGTCTTTGAAGATCTGGAAAGATTCACCAAAAACCAAACTAGTTTTTTAGTGACCAAATAAACAGCAATGTTCAGATCAATTACTTATGTATGTTTTAAATAAAGGTGAATGTATTCTTTTATTAATATCACTCTATAACCATAATCCGTTACATAGTCTATCTGTTAATTTTGGCTGTCTTTTCAAACTAAAATGGTCCCGACGTCCTCTACAGTGGACATACTGTAACATTTAAAAATTAAATTAAATTAAAAAAGTCTAAATTTGGCACATGTTTTTTTTAATCCTAAATAGGTAGGAAATCACACAAAAAAGGAAATTGGAAGACACTTTTTTTCCTCGGGTCCCAGGAGGATATAACAGACAAGACTTTGAGACTTACGGAGTGCATGCCACTCATCCTGTCGTATGGTCTTTGTGATGTTGATGGGTACATTTCGTGGTAGGATGGACGAAGAGTAGTGATACTTGACTGCGGTACATCTTTGAATTATTCCTGCAGGAGAGGAGATGGAGAAAACTATAACTGGAGCACAAATACATTTAATACAAGAAGAGGGAGTTAACAAAGAACACAATTTAGTCAAAATCTCATTCAACACACAACTAAAAGATTCATATTCATTTTCACACCCTCACTTAGCTTTAATTGACTGAGATGGCCTTATTAACATCGTGTTCCCAACAACTACTACATTGTTATTAAGGAGGGATCAGAAAACAATATGTGTTATTCTACAGAAGGCTACATAAGGAAGCATAATTGTTCTCATTCCAAGTGAATCGCTCCATATTGACTGGATAGTCAGTGCATTTAATGGTGTTCAAAATAACCATACATAATTGGATATATTCAAAATATAAGTGCAAGTATTTTGGCCTCAGCTCCCATTCAATATGTAAAGACACACATTTACTTTAGATTTCAATTTTTCAAATGCATCTTCACTTAATTTTCCATTGTTGAGGAAAGACATGTTATGTATACAGTACTATGCATAGAAGCATTGCTGACATGTTTGTTTTATTTGGAACTTAATGGTTTGATCAAACAATTTTAAATGCTGATCACGTTTGTCAAACATTGTTAATGTCCAATTTTTAGCCTTTCCTTTGCATAGTCAGGTTTGTGATCGTCTAGGCTTTGATCTGAATGCTCTTTGTTGAGGCACCCAAGGCTACTTTAAAAAAAAAAAGCATATTTCATCGCAGCATTTCTGTCCTAATATTTCATGCATTTCAATTCAGACTTAAGTGTCATGTAAATAAAAGCAAACCTGTGATACCAAATTTGAGCCTCAGCATGTTTGTTACTTTGTTGTACATCTAAAGCTAATACAATAATGAAAACTAATGTGTAAAATGGAAACCGCTGCATGCTTAACACCATATACTGTTGACATGACATTAGTCAATCAGAAGCTTTCAATACAGTAGTAATGACACACATCTTATGTTCTGGAGTTGATTGATTCATAAATAAATGTGTTTGTTTAATTACTTTAATTTAGCTAACTACATGTTGGATGAACTTTGAATGCCCTGCAAACTGACAGTAGATCTACACAGATTTTAATTATGTGTCTGATTAGTGTGGGAAGAAACAGACTGTGTTTGATTGACATCTTCCTGTACTCCTGCCTGCTTTGTTGCTCCTTTTGGGGCGGGACAAAGATGACATTTATAATTGTTATTGGTACATTGATTGAACACCTGTGTGGGTTTGAAAGGCCTAATAAAATGCTGCTCAAAGATCAACACTGAGACTGTAGACTCTTATATACAGACGTGGAACATGTGTTTAAAAACCTTTAAGTGATCATTTAACCGTTAGAGAGAAGAGTTATTAATTTCCCTGCTGTCAAAACACTGAGATCACAAAGCCTGTATACTAATGGTTGGACAACATCAGACACATTTATACCTGTGCACTATTAAACTACACAAGACATTAGTTTCTCAACTAATTGCATCACTTAAAGGCTATTTATGAATTGTTTGAAATTGTATGAATCTGTTGAAATCTGATCTTGGTTATGTGTTAAATTGTGGACATCTTTTAACCCTCCTATTGTCTTCGTTTCCCCCTCCCCCCCCTTACTTTGGTGTTTGCGGTCAAATTTGACCGGTCCTGTTTTAACTGCTATTACATTAACACAAAAACCATTAATCATCACCAAATTTCATTTAACACCCTTTCAAACTGTAAATATTGTATCAGACTACTGGTATACATGAAAAACTGCAGTAAATATACAAAGAATAGACACTGAACATGCATTGCGTGTGCCAGGTGTGATCCATGTGGGGGGATGGGCACATAAGAGCGGGAAATGTGTCAAATTGTTCTGTGTGTGTGTGTGTGTTTGTGAGTGCCAGGTGTGATTCATATGGGGGGATTGGGCACATACGGGGGGGGGGGGGGGGGGAAACACACATCTAGAGTATGTGTTTGTGTGGGTGTGGGTGTTTGTGTGGGTGTTGTATCTGATCCGGATGGTTATTAATTCCTTTTCTTTATGGCGGTCATTTTTGACCGGGAACACCATGGGTGTTACAAAGTTGACTAAATCATCCAAAATTCAATGAAAGTGGTGATCAGCAATTTTATATGTTCAAATGTCTACTGTGAAGGATATCATAAAGCCTTAATGCAATCGAATGTAAAACAAACAAGTTATGATTGATGAAAGTAGTAAATCGGTCAGATTTGACCCGAAGACAACAGGAGGGTTAAACAGATGAGTTTGGTTCTGTGACTGTACGTTCATGATTGTGTTTAAGATGTCGAATCACTTCGACATGTGTTCAATGCAATTGTGTGCATGTATCTATTATATATGAACATGAAAATGACATAGACAACCTGAAAAAAAGAAAGCTGCCTTTTCCCCCTAACCTATAAAATGATAAGTTTTCTGAATTGATCAGTCATTAGCAATTATAAATAATAAATAATAAAAGTGTTATAAAAATTGCTCAGGTAATGACACCAATATTTATCCTAAACATTATTATCTAAAGAGCAAATATGATCACAAGAATCAGACAATGCTAAGTAAACCCCTTAGATTTATCATGTGTTATTTTGCTGTAACTAGCCATTTCCCCTCTGTGGGACGATAAAGGTATTCTGATTCTGATTCACTTGCATTAGGTTACATATAAGTATATCTGGGGCTACTAACACTAATAGTTAATAAGATATTGTAGAAATGTGAACACAATCATTTGTGAGTAGTTTATCACCACATAAAGTACAAAGTGTAGATATAATCAGGCACACATGTCCAATTCATAACCAATACAGTAGAGACAAATATCAACTTGGTTAAGCTTGTAAATATATTTACACAAGTATATGTGTTTGTAGGAGATTGTAAAATGTAATGTTTAAACTAGTTTGAACTACATGTAATCCTGTTAAATAACAGGACAAAGCACAACCTCTCAAATGTAAAACAGGATTAAATCAACACCTGTCTGAGAATGTCAACAACAATATCAAAAAGGTTGCATTGGGTTAATGGGTATACTACAACGTCTACAGTCAACTAAACACAACTGTGTTCTCATTATGTACAATATATGAGAGATCAAATACATTGTTTACTCTTTACCATGAACTTTTGACAATATATCACGATCTTTGAAACCAGAACTATTAGTAGATCATCCTAACCACAGCCTTTGTGTTGTTATTGTCTTTAATGTGATTTAAATGTTACATAAATTGGACATTTTAATGATGAAACCTATCAAAAATGTCATTGTTGTTTAGCTCAATAAAATGTTGATGGCGAAACATATAAGGATTTTAAAACAATATTTGTCATTCTTCAGGGACAATGCTTAGGAGAGAAAACTGTCCCTGGTATGCTTTTAGGTGTCATTTGACAGCTGAAATCACTACAACAGCTTGTCCCACCCGTGTTTCTACACAGAATGGTTTCCCTCTGTGTGTCTGCTCAGTTTTAGGATCTGTCTGGATTAGGTGTACCATAAATGAGTGAGGCCTGGAATATGGCTGCTCATTGTTGTTCAATAATGAGGGCAGTGCATTATGTTCTCTATGCTGGGGCTTAAAACTCAAACGAAATGTATCAATGATTCAGATCGTTTTGTAGGAAAGAAAAAAGGGTAACATTAACCTTTAAAATATGTTGTTTGGTCTAGATGAAAAACGGGTTCAGAAAATAGAGGAGCAGCCATTAGAGAGAGACTCAGTAAAAGGGGGATCACTCAGCACCTTGGACAGCGAAATGTACCAATAAAGAATAACCTTAAAAAAAAAACACATGCTTATCTCGTCTTGTAACCTTCAAATATAAAACGCAGACAGATATTAATGAGAGAGGGGAGAGGGCCTCTGTACCATCCTGTTTGTGTCAGGCTAGGTGTGAGCTCATCGCTGAGCATCACGGCCTGCTGCACACAGGGAAAGCCAGACCGCTCGTGTTTACCTTTGTGAATAAGGTCCTCGGTCTCCAGGTCGAATCCCTCCCGGTGACACTTCCTCCAAAGCCCGGAGATGGTGGAGTTAAACTGCCGACTGCAGTGAGACTCCATGGCAGACGCTGCGGCCAGAAAGTGGCGCTTCCCCCGGATGAGAGCTCCAGCATCTGGGCCGTTACCTTTCCTCTCCAGGCTCTTAGGAGGCATCTGGAGGGGGAGGTTGTGGTTGGAAATGTAGATGTACCCCGGGTCGTTTCGCTTGTTGGCATAGTTTTTACACCTCTCTCGATGTCTCCGCGCGTCAGTTTCGTACCAGTTATCGGTGCAAATGGCCATGGCGAGCAGCCCGAGCGCACAGAAAGCCAAGAAGAGCCCTGTGCCTGTTAATATTTTCATAGCGGCCATCTTCCCCGCTCGATGGAGAGCCCAAACAGTCGCAAGAAGGTTCCTCCGTGGCCGTGGTGGTGGTGGTACCGCGTGAAATGAATCACGACGGCACTCACAGCCTCACGCAGTCCTGCACTAGGAGCATGATGGTGCAAGGCCAGCGTTGTCCGGACTGGATGCTGCGGTCTATTGTTGTGGTACCCGGCGGATGCAATGTTGTTCCCACCATCTGTTATGGTACAGGAGGAGAGGGGATGGATGGCGACCAACGCTGTGAGGAGGAGGATGAGGAGGAGGCAGGGCAGGGATGTAGTAGCGCGCTCTCTCCTGCAGGTTGCTGCGGGATGGGGAGGACAGCTGCTCTGCTGTGGGGGAGTGGTCATTTGTGAAGCTTCAATGGACACCTTTTGGATTTGGTAAACATGTAAAGTAACAGATGCAAGTGCGGGGGGGGTTTTATATGGAGATTATATTTAAAGTAATATTTGTATTCCTACCTTGAAAACATGAACAGCAGCAGAACAAAGTCATTTCTATAAAAACACGAGTTCTAATAACATAGGAGACTTTATTACGCCGTTTTCAACATTTCCAAAATGTAGTTGTGGAACATAAGAACCAGTTTAAAAAACCTTCCTATACATTATTTTGTAATATTAAACGTTATTTTAGAAAATGAATACATTAATCATTTAACACGCAATACTATACACTTCGGGTCAGCATATTAACTTACATAAGCATATTAACCTTAATGGTTCTCACCATTACAAACTATTAATTCAAAGCTTTCATCCATGTACGGTGATGCAATGAGAGCAGTGGACTATTGCATGGAAACCTTTTGTAAATCGGCAAAAATCCAATATTAGGAAAGGCACATTAAACTTAAGTTTAAAGAAGACAGGTAAAGAAAGGGCATCACACAAGCAATACATATATTTGAATACAACATGGCGGATAAGATCTGTTGCAATTTGTAAATATTTTAAAGTGTGTCAAATACATTTGGTTATTTGGCATTTGAATGCCTTTTTTTGCAAGGTCAATTGCAGTAACATTGTAAACCTTGCACAACACACTTGGGCAATACTGCTTTTAACTTATTATGTAATTAAAAAATGGTTGGATTAAATCAATTCCTAAATTTACCAAAAACGTACTAACTCTTGCATACACAGGTATCTTTAGTTGCATATTAATGGGTCACACTAAAATAAGTCTCAGTCGATAGATAGACCATCTGTTACCTAGATTATTGGAATTGATTCCTGATAGTACAGGATAACGTTACAGCGATACGATTGTTTTCAAGTTCTTTTTAACTTCAAGTTGTAAGTCATAAATTCCCTTGTTGTGTTGGAGAAATCCAAATTCAAAGTTTTGGTGTTTGACATGTTGACTACAGGCATTAAATCAAAACGCTGATAAAACATTTTAGGACTTTATAAGCAGAACCGTAAAACAACTGAGCAAACTGTAATATTTGTCCACAAGACCAACCAGATATTCTAATCCAGACTCCTGGAATGTACCACTTGGACTATAAAGTTATGAGAACACAGCGGAGTATCAATGAAAAATGTGCCACTCAAGTGTTTGCACTGCCGTGTACACAGTGGCTGTTTGTTGTCCTTCTGTGCTGCGAGGAAGGCTCCCACAGACAATAGGCAGCTCGCAGGCTGATGACTAAGGAAGGCAACCCGCCGCGTAGTCGTTATGGCAACAGAAGCTTGTCAAACAGACTGTGTTGATATTGGACGAGTGTGAGTGCACAATCAAAGCCCCCCTCCCTCCACTCCCATTTTAGGCACAGGACCTTTGCAGTAAAAATATCTGTCCTGGTCGACACGTTTTTGTGCAGCGAGGTCAAAACACACTGGGCTGCCTCAGCGTCTTCACACAGCTCTACCAATCAATACCAGGATGCCCTACACCCACTGAGATCATTATAACAGCCCATTGAATATTCATAATAATCACCTGCTAGTGTGGTTATGGTTATTATTAATAAACAGCTGTTTTTTGTTTAAAAAAGGTCTGAACATTTTGTTTATTTCCTTAGGTGTTGAAACCTTCACCAACAGCTGCAATGCAGTGCTTTAAACAATCCTGTATGGTTATCAGTCCCTGGTTTCAAAGGATGCGAGGCAACAAGTATAAGTATATAATTGTATTTTATTTATTTTAACTTGATCACAATTATTCATTCAGTAAAAGATCAGAAATGTGCAGACCACTCGTGTGAGAAAAATACAAAAACAGACAAAAAACTAGTTTGGAGTAGAGCTGACATTATTGTAACAGGCCATCCTGACTTATTTCTCAATACAAACATATGTAATGTGGGGGTGCACGTCTGAATAAACTATATTTAACTTGTCTTATTTTCAATAAATATTCAGCAGATACATTAAAAGTAACAGTAACAATACATACAAAGTTTAAGCAATTTAGGTTTGAATACTTTTTAAAGGAGGTTGTCCTTGTAGCTGTCTAATAATACCTGTTCTGTTATACCGGCACATCAGCTGTACCTGTGTAAATGTATGTGCAAAACAACATGATTGTCTGATCACCAATAGAAGACAATTTCATAAAATATTCATACAAACCCTCTTCACTTCATGGATGTTTAAGATTGGCACATTTGACTAGTGTCCAAATAAAATGTCCTGTCAGCAGATCAAAAAAGCTTTCCTTTGGGTCGTCCGTCCAAAAAGTGCCGTTCTTCTATCAGATGTTTTTCTTTGTAGTGTAACATGATGTTAAGTTTCTAGGAATGAGAGGTACCAGATATGAGGGGTTGGTTGAGAGCTTTTGTGTTTGGTTAAGGCGAGAGGGGGATTTCCTCCGTGTTCAGTCAACAATGGCAGAGAGCACAGCCATGACAGCCATGCCACAGAAGATGAGCAGGACATGCAGGAGGGACTGCCTGTGAAAGCAAACAAAGGTTACGGATTCAGACAGATTCAAGGACATAAAATAAATATTCCCGTTTCAACACCACAGAACAAGTTATACAATGTGTTGTTTGTAAATATCTTTCTGCAGAGTGCTGCAGGGATGATGTATTTCTGAAGGCTGACCCGTTTGTATAGCACATAACAAAAAGCCAACAGAATTTTGGATATTTGGAAAATAGATCCTTAACAAACAAACATGTCTGGTACTTATTTAGTTCCGCAAGATAATCTCCACATATTAACAGCACTTATATGTTTTTATGTCTCATTTAGCTACCGATCTATTTAAGACAAAGAAGTTTCAGAAATTCCAGAGTGGAGTATTTACTGACACGCAGTATTTTATGTTATGAACAAACTCTCATAAACGTATTTTAAACACAGACTGAATTTCACGCATCTAACCAAAAACTCATTCAGAAAACCCAGCCGTAGTGCTATGGAACCATATTATATATGTTAAAAGCATAGATTGTTTATAAGAAGGGACAAAGAATATTGATCAACACATTTTTAGGCGATCAACATTTTTTAATCAACTTCATAATGTGAAAACCCACTGTGAAAGGGTTATTTTTCAGACCCAGAGCAGCCTGCTTGGTCATAAGTAGGTCCTCTTTGTGTTTCTGATGCGAACAGGCACATAACCCATACCATAAACTGGACTCCTCCAGCAGATCAGGCACCACGTTCACCATAGCTATGTAGAGGAAGCCTCCCGAGGTGAAAGGCAGTATCCAGGCAGTGGCATTTTCTAGGAAGGGAAGGAAATACTTCTATAAAACAGTATCCAGGTGACAAAAATGTATTTGATTGCTTGAATACTTAGAATCTTACCTGTGCCTTTTGGCGACTGAGCGCACAGAGCGAAGCAAGCTCCCAAAACACCAACCAGCGCCGTGGACAGCTGCATGCAGGCCGCACTCCACCGGTCGAACCCGGCCCTCAGCAGGATGGCAAAGTCCCCCACCTGCAGATAAGGACAAGTCCCACAGCAGACAAATGGCATTACAGTCAGCGTGTTTACAACCACTGTAGCAGTCTGTTGTTTTCTAGTATTTTCTGCTATTTAAACATAAAAGCCTCAGGTTGTAGAATGGAACCAAAGATTCTGTAATCTCACCTCATGGGGGATTTCATGGAGCAGGATGGCAAAGGTGGTAAGGTATCCAACCTGCAAGAAAAGATTCATTAACAATGTGCCCGGTATTATTAATAGGGAACTGTATTCTTGAAAGCACCCGTTGAGTAGAGTTCTAAGCTCTATGTGTTCAGCGAGCGGTGCATAGTGCAACGAAGGGAAATGTAGAAGAGCTGCTCAAAGAGCTGCAAAGCTGTGACAGCTTAAAGTCTTTTATAATTCCACATGAAGAGGATGATGAGATATCAGTTGTGAGAAAGTGTACTTATACACACACACACGTCACATCTAGGTAAGAGGCTATTGAATACCTGCAGGTTGACAAAATAAATCATTTCAAGGATGAAAACTTGTTAGAGTTAGACAATAAGAGAAAAAAAGCCACAAGATAGAAAAGAAACCTTCTTTCTTGGAATTTCTTAAAAATTGTTAAGGACATTATGGCAAAAGATCTCATTGTAGGAAATTAAAAACATTTATGAAACTCTTAATATATAAACATTGGTTAAAATTACATTGAGTACCAGAAGCAACGTTTATCCGGGTAATACCATTTGCTTTTTTCAGGTGGGCCAAAAATGTTAACATAGCTGAATGATGTAATGTGGTTTGTAGTTGAGCCAATAATACAATTTGAAAAATTAAATAAAGCCCTAGTACAATTTTGAACAGCTCCCTTTAAGTATAACACTTAAAGGTGGGGTAGGTCATTTTGGAGAAACCAGCTCGAGATCGCTAGAATTTGAAAATACACAACCGGAAAAAATCTGTCACTACCTTACAGAGCCCCTCCTCCAACACACACGAACGCACACATGACCAATGAGGGCACGAGATAAGTTTGTGCACAGATGGAAGGCTGACAGGCAGGTAGGCCATCCAGTTATTTTAGCCGGGCCGGCTAAAATGATTGGTCGTGCTTTTTACAGCGCCACGGCTTCCACAGATGAATTTTTTTAATGGATTTTTTGTCAAAGCACTTAAGATATTCATTGCTATCGGGAGGTTAAGAGCATTCCATGGAATATAACAAAAAGTGTATCTCGAGCCCGTTTCTCAAACTTACCTACCCCACCTTTAAGTGTTAATAACTGATACAAATATATATTTTTTAAATGTTCAACAGTAATTCAGAATTAAAAACTGTGAACATCTTCATGTTTAATTAAACTGCATTGATACAGATTATTTGTATTGCAGCATTACATTGTGGCAAAGTCACAGTGTGATAAATGTGCTTGAGAGTGAACAGAAAGCACCGGTGAGATGTCTTGTATATGTACGTTTCAGACACCTCGTTAACTTCCTCTCTGGCACGGCGATGTGCGGTTCATGCTGCTAGCCTTATGTCCCTCCAGCTGGACTCTCTTCTTATAAAAGATACAAATACACAGTAACCTACCGAAGCCAGCCTAACGCATGTTACTGCAGTTTAGAGTGCACCTTTTTTGATCTAGCCTGTACGATAATTAAACAAAGAAAAGTTTTTAAATGAAAACGTTTGCTGTCCTGTAGTGATTGTCCACTTTCAGGACTGTAGCTCTGCTGATACAACAGGTCTGCTGCACACACTGCCAAATTACCCAGATCCATTTCCTCTCTTCTCTTTTATTCAGTATTACTGCGCTCCTCCCTGGCTATTTTGCAGTTCTCTTGCATTACAGTTGATCTCTGAAGCGCAAACAAGCCAAAGTATAGACTCATATTTACTCAGAATGGACCTTTAACAACTAGTCTTTAATTATTTGGAGGCAGGCTTTGAGTACCAAAACCAATTATTTTCATGTGATATGTTCACAAATCCAAAAATGATCACATTACTCTTTCTATCATTACCCACAGAGTAATATTTGTAGTTTTCTAGGCTGTTGGCCAGGAATGAGTAATAATTAAGGGGTCAATCCATACTGACAATAACTAGCACTTAAAGGTCTATATTTGTAATATAATCTTAATCATCCTACACAGTGACATGACAGACAGCTGCATGTCAGTTTAAGCAATTTATTTATCAGCCATGATTGTCAGTTCATGATAATGAGCTCATTTGGTCTGAGACCCCGGGGAGCTATTTCAACTGCAATTATACTTTATGAGACAAGGAGCTCATGTATAATAAATATGCATGCTGAGGACTTAATGTGAATGTAATCACATTCTCACATACGAGTCATTTGTTAGACCGGTGTGATTAGAAAGGTACACATCATGAGCACAAGACCCTGCTAACACACTGCTGATGACTGAAGCCTGAGGCCCATAGCTGTTTTTCAACTCAATTTCCTGCTGGATTTGTTTTTAGTTAAAGACATTTCACTATGAAATGTACTATGGAGACTTATGTTTCAAGGGCTGACGGCATGTCATACTAACCTCGAGTTAGAAATGCTTTCATTTGAGATTGTCAAATCTTTATTGTAATATTTACAAGGCAAAGGCTAAATCTATACCCAAGAGAAAGATGGAGACAAAGCATCTGAGCAACTTCTTTGTGTGTGCCTAAAACACATTTGAATTAGAAATATGTAATATGTATTTGTTAAAATGATCACAGCCTCTTACCTTTTTGCTAACCATAAAACTTCCTGCTACTGCCAGTCCGTGGGTGAAGTTGTCGATGCAGTTGGCCAGCAGGTTTAGGTATCCACTCGTCTGTGAGACACAAAATAAAAATGACACTCAAAAAGGTGAAAACTACAAGAAGTATGGTTTACTGGAAAGTCGTTTTTTTTTATCTGTCACAGACTCATCTTATTTAATCGTTTATTTCGCAGGGACAATGCACGGTAATGAACACTTAAAACATTAAAATGTGTCAAGCGTAACAGTGCCAGATTTAGCTTTCAGCTCATTTCCATCCACAGTCCCTCATAAAAACATTTAAGAAATTTACATTTTACAGACATTGTAAAAACAAAATACATGTTATGCAAAAAGCGCAAGAGAGCAAGAGCAGCATACACAAGTATTTATGACATGGTAATACAATATAGCAGCAACGACATGTAAAGTGCAAGAGAAGATACAAGAGCTACCTAAAGTGCAAGAAGAGATACCCCTGTAATAAAGTGCATTTAGTAGTGATAACACGTCTGTGTGTTTCTCATCCATTCTTTGAGTTGACCTTTGAAGCTATTGAGAGTGGCACAATCCCGTATCTCAGTTGGGAGGCTATTCCACAAAGAGCTGCCCTCTGGTTTCTGACCTAGTGCAGCGTCCAGAGTGTTTTTGTGGATGAATTCCCCTACGGGAGGGGGGGCAGTCCATGTAAACATTTATAAATAAAACACATACGTTTAAAAGACTTAAAATGGTCAAAACTCAAGAAATTGTGTTTTTCAAGGATGGTACAGTGGTGGTATGAATTTGGCTTTCTGTCAAACACCTTGATAGCTCTCTTGTACAGCTGTTCTATCGATTTAAGGTTTGTGGCACAAGCAAACGACCAGTTTGTAAAACAGAATTCAATGTGGGATAGAATCATACAGTGGAGGTATGACTTTGCAGCATCGACAGTTTTATCGACATATCAACTTTTAATGTTTCTTAAAAGTTCGAGTCCAGTATGACTCCAAGATACTTGAACTGGGAGACTAGTTCTATTTCTGATCCGTTTAAAAACACATTAGATCCTTCGATAAAATACAAGTGTGGTTAATTTCAAATCAGGCCTATTTCAACACCCAATATTTGATATCCTGAACGTTGTTGGTTTCAGGTTAAGTTACTCCCAGTTTTGCAGTCTGACCCATTTATACAAAAAAAAAAAGGCTGTAAATGATCCGTTCCTTGCAGGAAACAAAAGGAAGCTGCTGATTATGTGCCACAATACCTCGGGCAAATAGTTGGTGTAGTATTAACATGTTCAATTGAGTCTGTCCTCACACCCAGTCTGTGCTGGGAAAAACTAAAGAAAGGGATGGGCCAATGCAGGACATTTCTCCATAATATGTTTCTTTTTGTGAATGTCTATTAAAAAAACATCAAGGTTAGTTTCAACCTCTTCATTTACTCACAGATTTTGAAAGTGTTCTCTTTCTGATTGGACATTTTTATAATTGATTTCATATTGGTACTAAACCACACTGAGATGTACTACGTGAGTGAATTTAAATGTACTTTTATGTTCATGTTATTTTGTTATGACATGTGTTCGTTCACAAGTCAGATACAGTGTAAAGGATTCCAGGGTTTATTTGCACACTTTGGTGATATGAGAAAGGTAAGGGTTGTCCTGCAGCAGCACTAAAGGACTAGTTCTGAAAATAAGCATGAGAAATATTCCAAGATAAAGTATTAGAAATATATATATTTATGAGGTATTAGGCTGTGAATATTCAGGGTTTCTAAAGACCTTCAGTAATAAAGGCATTGTTAAGTTTAACAGTCTTGTTGGTTTCATTAAGCCGTCCAATTTGCTGGTTCTGAAATAAACTAAAGGAATCGGGTTGGATTATTAATGAAGCAAAAAGAGCTTTCTTACATACACAACCCAAGTATTTACCCTTAGCGGTGTCTATTATTTTTATTTTTTAAATGTGTTAACTGGGAATGTTTTGGTTGTCAGAAGTACCTTGATCTTCTCTGATCTTCCCTGCAGACTCTGATGCTTAGAGGATTTCCATGACTCAGCAGGGTGCCTGTTTCTGAGTGATGCCGCTGCCTTTCCATGGGAAGCTGCATCAGACCGCAGCTGTGGAGGAAAGAGGAAGACAAACAAGGCAAAAATAAACATATAGTCCCAACCTGCACTATCGTCCCAGCCTCTTTTTTATATATAGTATGTTTTAAATAAATAATCCTTATGTTAGCATTGCCCATCAGTGTCCACCATCAGTACTATTCCCATTCCTTTCCCCTAAGGAAACCACCTTTGCCACTAGCACCAGTCATACTGAAAACAGACAGTCAATGCTAGCCTAGATTTAACAGCGCAATAAACATGGATTTTATTGTTGCTCCCACTGTGTGAGAAAGGCTTGTAACTCCTGCTGGCAGAACAGCTGTTGAAGAAAGTCCTGATTATTTCTCTAACTTCCGACATGTTCAGGAATAACAGTCATTTGTACTTTTGCTGCATTTTTCAGACCTAACAGATGACCTTTAAACACCACTCAACATTTAAATATATATGATGAATATAAAAAGGAGGGACGGATTCATTTCAGGATAAAGCCTCTGTTTTCCGAGAACAGACAACTTCCTTGTTCCCTCTTTCAGAAACCACTTATGTTGCCATTTAGACTGATAGGCAAATTAAATGAAAGGAAATAGCCTGCTGTCTTCTGGTCGCGGCGGGGACATTTTTGCTCCATGTCTATGATTGAAGCATTAGGAAGTAATAAAGCGTTTCCGGGCTGAGATTGGAGCAAAATGATCTCTTCAATACGCCCAATTTAAATGACCTAGACATAAAAAAAGGTGATTAAAACTCCTCTTCACATTTCATACCAAGCATTGTAGCTCTCCACACATATCCATCAGAAACACTCTTTGGTTAGATTTTCCTAACCACATATTTTAGGAGGAAGACATATTTTTAACCTGTCTGTCTCTCGCACTGCCACACTTTATTCTTGCCTCTCTCTGTAAGCTGAGTGCTCTCCTGTGGACAGTAAAATGGCTAAAAGAGCTGCTTCACCCCGGCACTATAAATAGACACCAGTGGAGGAGCTGAGCCGTGGATGCAAATCTTCTCCCTCACTGGAAATACAAATACAAGAGAGGGAAGAGACAGCCTGCACAAACACTCTGCAACCAGCCATTCATGTCTACAAAGAAACCGAGCATTAATAAAGCGTCACATTTATAATAGCATTACCAAGCAATAAACTCTCCCTTTGACACTAGTTAACTAGTGTATTTGAACAGCCGTTTCAACCCAGTACAGAGTAGATATGTCTTATATGTTTTAATTTGCTCATTGATTAACCAACTTTTCCCCCAGAAGTGTGCTGCTCGGCTACGCACCGCGCCTCACTAAAACCCAGTTAAAATGCACGCTTAAGTGTATTGTGTCCTAATATCTGTCCTTCTTAACACTAGAACTGCCAGGGGTCGCTGTATACCTAAAACCGCCAACGGGTCAAATTGACCCGCTATTAGAATGCATTGATTTTCAAGGGACAATGTTCTTTTATTTATCATACTAGAACACAGGGTTAATAGTGAGTTTTGATCGCACAGTGATGAAACTTATACTATTGTTGTGGTGTTTTTACACAGTACAGTAGATCGAAGTAAATCAACGTATACATTATCATGTATTATATTGTGTTGTAGGGCTGTGCAATTAATCGTATTTTAATCTCGATTACGATTTTGGCTTGCAACGATTACGAAAACAACGTAATCGAAATAAAACGATTATTATTTTTATTAAAAAAAAAAAAAAATGTAATTATTATTTTTTTTTATTTTATTTTTTTATTGGTTTTTCAGTTGAATTATACTTAAAGTTCAGGGTAATCAACTATTAAAAACATACTGTTCACATTTTTGTTTCAATAAATGGATGTTTTCAAAGTAAATGGATAATCGTTTTTAATAATCGTGATATCAATTATTGACCAAAATAATCGTGATTAGGATTTTTGCCATAATCGCACAGCCCTATTGTGTTGTATTATTAAGTAATATCATACATTAACCCCATTATAGCAGATGCCACATTGAATGGATGAACACATTTATGCATCAATAATTACAACGGAGTATTTCTAAATATAAGTTGTAAAAATACTTATATGTATTTAATACTAATAACATAATGATTAATTTTACTTTCAGATGATAATACTTTTCACTTGGGCAATTGACATTTTTGAATGCAGGACATTTACTTCCAACACGTATTTTTACCTAGGTAAATAATCGGAATACTTCGTCCAGCTCTAATTTTGGACCCTGTCAATGTTTTTCAAACTTTAATTAAATGTTGGATATTTCCACAGACCCTTTCAGACCGGTGTCAGTACCATATGTGTTCGCCCTACCATATGTGTTCGGGGTCCGTCGCTTACCAATGACGTCACCCATTGTGATTGGCTGTACGGAATCGTAGTAATCAGCAGCGAACCGCTTCAACACGTGTATTCACGGCATTCATTTTGTTATTCTACAGTATTATTGTTTTATAGTTATTTGTTAATGTAACCCAATTTGTGTTCTTTGAAATTGAAAAGGATATCGCATTGTGTTTGTTACATTCGTTGCAGTTGTATAGGCTATGTGTTAAGTGTAATTTGGCATGTCCTATTTATGGACATGCTTTTATTTTGAAGGAGAGTTAGCGCAGTTGACAGGAAGTTGTTGTTGCTTTGGAAACAACGTGACAGAGATTAACGGAGAAAAGTAATATCTACATATAAAGACGGAGAAAGTAAACGATAACGTTTATGGTTAAGTGTTAGCACCCCCCGAAGAGGCACAAGCTCTTACGTTGATATTGGAGATTTCAATAAATTCAATTTGAAAAAAAAAACGGGGAAAAAAAAACAAAAACGAATATCTGAATAACGAAATTGAAACCCGAATAGTACTCCAACGAACGAATATTCGGATATTTTGGTACAGTAGGGCTGTACCCGAATAATATAATAAAGTTATAGTAAATAATAACAAATTCCAGTGTTAGAATTCCATAATTCCATATTCATAAATAAAATGATATGCAAATAACATTTTCTTGGCTGTGGACTTGTACTCTACATAATTATGTTGAGCTCATGGTAATCTAATTCAATAAACAATAACTGCAATGAACAGATAGCATTTTCTGACTCGTAAAATGATTGGATATGGTGTAATTTGGCAAATGATTCTGTGTTGAAAAATGTATATCTTTAAAAACTGCGTTGGTGTATTAGGGCGGGCCATACTAATTTTTCTTGTAAATCGATCGAGAGGGGTGTTCAAATAACGTATTTTGGTGTGTAGAACACAAATCTATTTAGATGCTTTTATTTTGAAGTTGTTGCTATGGAAACAACATGACGGAGAAAAAAGTAATATCTTCTACATATAATAACGGACAAAGTAAAGAATGAAGTGTATGTTTAAATGTTAGCACCCCCCGAAGAGGCTCAAGCTCTTACGTTGAGTCTGGAGTTTCAATACATTCGGAATTTGACCGTGTAAAATGTCCTCTTGGGTTACCGTACAGCCAATGCGTGACGTCATTGGTAAGCGTAACGGACCCCGAACACATCTGGTAGGCCGAACACATATGGTACCTACACCGGCAATGCTGGAGAACAGAGGGGGGATGGGAGAGTTTTGTCACATTCCGATGGCCCATTACTAGATTTGAAACAAAGAGAGTCACAGCCCTGCGTTGAACACCTAAAGGGAGCTGTCGGGGGGTGGGGGGTGGTGAACGGTACATGGTCAATGTTTGTTTAAAAATGTTTGCAGTCGCGAAAGCTCTAAGCCAATCAGACATGGACCAAAAAAAGGATCAGTCTATGTGTCGAGGGGGAACTAGAGACGCCCCTCTGCCTTTACAGCCATGGTCCGGTCTGACAGCGCTCAGCTCTCTGCTGCAGAGGAAGAGACAGATCACTGCTCTAAACAAAGTCGAAAATCTTCCCGCGCATGGTTGCCATGGTTGCCCTTCTGTTTATTCTCCGCTGTGGACGCTCTGGCTCTTTTTCTCCCTCCCCGAGGCAAGCGTTTGGTCCTGCTGTAAATCTCTCCGGTTAGTCCACCAGCAGATGAAAAACACCCACCTCTCCGCCTCTTCCAAGGGACGAGGGGACCGTGCGGCAGAGTTTCAGTTCGATTTTTTTTCGCCGGGCAACATGTCCGTTAAAGTTTAAATCTTCCGGACAAAATTAGAAAAGTGCCAGTCAAAGGTCTTCTTTGTTATTTATTGAGCTTTGAAACAAATGAATAACAACTCTGTATAATAATATAAGAATAAAAAACCGAGCCTCTCTTTTCCTCCCCCTCTTCTGAGAGCCCAGCAGCTGATCTCTGAGCAGGAGAGGTGGGGAGAGGCGGGGCTATTGCGTCATCGTTATCTGGGGCCTCATTTATAAAGGGATATACGCTCCAAAAATGCCGTACGCCAGTTTCTACGCAATGTTTGCGATTTATAAAATACTAACTTGACGGGAAAATGTGCTGTCCTCCACGCAAACTCTAACCCATGCGTACGCACTAAGCACACAAACGGGAGAGACGAGAAACTGCGACACCGTTGGCAGAAGGAAGAATGGAGAGAAATATGTGGAAATAATACCATAAATAAAATGTTACCTCTCATTTATCAAATATGAATAATTCATTTTCAAACATTGATTAAAGCCAATCTTTAAATGATTAAACAAACGCCTGTTTGAAACTCCTCAGTGCACACAAAAACATAACTTGGAGAAATAAATAAATACGGATATGTTATTTAAAACCACCTCGAATATGTTGTGTTAATGTTATGAAATGTTTTCTCATAAATGATGCGGTAAGCAGGAGGACAGAATAACGTCTAAACTGACGCCGTTTTGCATTTCTATAGGTTGTAGATACGAGCATGGTTTTATATACTATCACGTTTAATCGTGTTTTATGCCGTTTGCCAAGACTTGATAAGTAGCTCGTAAAACACAGGAGGTATGGAAACTAAGAACACCATATGTGGTAAATTGTACAGCTAATATAACACAATCCATTAGTTGTATTTCCTTTAACTGGTGGATTATGGATATATAGTTGCTGATCGACAGCTGGAACACAAACCACCAAATACAACAAAAATAATTCAGATCCAGTCGTCATGACTCCACTCCGGAGGGATTCCCCGATCATTTCTTACAGTTTCTCATCAAGGGGGTGTCTCCTGTCCCCGGGACAAACACACTGCCTGAGGAAGGTTATGTGTATTTTTTTTGTCATTAACTTTTTTCGGACCACTTATTTATTTATTTTGGTGACGATCCGACCTCCATGCTGCTACTCTGGTTCAAACTGCATCCACCAAACAATTTGATTTATCTCGACCTCCCCAAAATAACCAAAATCTGACACGGTGTGAGATGTCTTTTTTAGCTGTTCTATCATCATTTCCTGCGATCTTCTTCATGCAGTCAGTCAAAATGAATGAATGAGCGTTTCTTTGACTATTTATAGGCAAATATGGGCGTTACGAGTCGATTGTGATTTATAAAGGGAAACAGGCGTAGGAAGTGCCGTACGCACTTCCCTCGCCGGTACGCAATGTTTTGTGAATCGGAAAATGGCGGAAAATGTATGTACCTATTTTTGTGCTTTGTACTACGTAAGCAACCTTCCTACGTCAATCCTACGCAAGGCGTTATAAATAAGGCCCCAGGACATGATCGTATAGGCGTAAACACGGAGCCGCTTGCCCCCCCAGAGCGTTTCGTTTGCAGATCTACCCACCTTGGGACCCGTTATCGTTATCGTTTTCCTCGCAGCGGGGCTACTGCTGCGGAGCGCATACAGCTTTAAATAAATAAACATGTTTCTAGCCTGGATCCAATCAAACCTATTCTGGATATAGTTAGATCCTGTCTCAGACTATTTAAAAAAACAACGGTCTGATTTTATCATTGCACAACAATGAACTCAATGTGTGATTGTTATAGCAGTAATATTAAACAGTAATAATACAGTGAACTATTAGCACTGTAAATATTATTGTTTGCCCGTGGTGAGATGACGAGGCTCCTGATAGGGCCGTGGGCATAAAGCCCACATTTCCGATATTACGTCATATCGGACGCAAATCTGGATCAGCTGTTTTTAGAGATTTGGGTACGAAGGAAAAGAGAGAGGGTTTTGTTTCCTGACACTTTGTGAGTTCCCTGACACACCGGGGACACATATTTATGTATAAAAGACATCAAAAAGTGCCTTTTGCATGATGGGAGACCTTTAATGTTGCAAATGGAGAGGCTGTGACGCAAGTCATATTTCAGACTTGATCTGACCATTAAAGTTATCGTATTGTACAATTCATACTAGAAGAGGATGTTCTGTTAAAAAGAAAAAAAATGTGCTCCGAATTTCCAGTGGCTGCAAGGCATCCTCACACTGACGACAACACAATAGAGAAGTATTGATCTTCTCATCTAACTGCTAGAGGATATTACTGATAGCCCGGGTGCAGAATAGGTCATCTGATGCTACAATAACCCAAACACTGAATAGAAATATGCAGATCAAGCACTAACAGGGCAAGCATACCTATGACAACGGATAAGTGAAGGCTTGTAACGACACGTCTGTGCTCAGTGAGCTCCTGTGGAAGCATTGAGCATATTCTTCTGTAATCATTTCAGCTTAAAATACTTACAGCATTGTTAGAGTTCAGGTCTGAGTTGGAAGTGGGCTCCTCCTCCTCTTCTTCCTTGCTGTCTTGGTCTGGGAACATCTTCTCCAGGATAAGGAAAGCCAAAAGGCCAGCGATTACCCACAAGCCCTGGGTCATGTAGTGGTTGTGTTTACCAGCTAGGATGGAAGCAGAGAGATTGTACATGAGAATCAGTGTATGTAGTTACAACTGAAACCGAGAGTTGCAACTAAAATGTTAACTTAAAGATAAATTAATACAATCTCATTACAACTCAAAGTAATATATCTGAAGAGCGACTGTTCCGAAATGACGTTCACTGGCAATACCAAACTTTAATGTGTTTAAGTAGGTTTAAAGGTTCCCTATTATACTGTTTTTCATCAATATATTATAGGTCTCAGATATATACGAAACATGTCTCTGAAGTGTTTGGCTCAAAATACCAAACAAATCATGCATTGTAGCATCCCATAATCCCCTCTGTTTCAGCCCTGTTTCAAATGTGCTGATTCTCTGTCTTTTACTTCAGATGACAATAGAGTGGCGAAGTCCCTCCCACTTACTTCCGGGGTATGGGACCTTATTCCGGAAAAGTTATGCATTGAAGTCAATGGGGAGAGAAAACTTATCTTTCGATCCCGTTTGAATTGTGCCATGAATTACACATATGATGTTTGTCAATCTTAAAAAATCATTTCCATGTCAAAAAAGTCACAGTTTGTCGTAAAACTGTTGAAATATAAGACTATGAAAAATACGTAACTAGAAAGACTACAAATCCCAGAGTCGCGTAAGTGATGTCACAATTGTTTACCTCCACCATTCAGATACCTAAGATCAGCGCAATATAGATATAATCTATCTATATGGCGCTGGCTAAGATAAGATAACTTTAACAAGATGCCTGTGTGCTTAGTACCAGGTTGTTATTATACCAGCAATGGGTCTTGCTCGTTCTTTTGCTTCCCGTCTGATGAAACGACCAGGAGTGGCTTGATCAAGTTAGCTACCTAGCTAGTAGCTAGCACGTTAGTTAGCATTACAGCCTTGTCATTTTTATTAGCCTTAACATGAAGTAACATTAAGTAACCCAAAATGTTAAACAGTAAGAGTAGTAGTCATATTTCGTGAACCCTTTGAATAGTACTGTCACCGGTGTGATCATTCTATAATACACCATTTAATTCCGGGGGAGAAATGCTAACGCTAACGTTAGCATCGGCGATCTTTTCTACTTCATGCTATCTGCACAAATGGTTGACATTAAACATTAAAACGACCAGGCAGTTCAGAGAGAATCAAAGGAAGGCAGGCTTTGCATGACATTCTTCAGGACGTGTTTCATTGTGGTGATAGTCAATCGTTTGTTGACAAGACAGTAGTGACGGCCATCTTGGTGACGTGTGTGGTTGACCAGAGATGTAGTTCATTGAGCCTTTCACACAAACAAATGTGTTACTTCACAGTTTTACGACACATTTTAATTTTTTTGACTTGCAAAATTATCTTTTAAATTGACAAACATCATATGTGTAATTCGTGGCACAATTCAAACGGGATCGAAAGATAATCTTTCTCTCTCCATCGACTTCAATGCATAACTTTTCCGAAATAAGGTCCCATGGGGCTCAACCGGAAGGGGAGGGACTTCGCCACTCTATAAGGAGCCACTCCCCACGCCCCTCTGCAAGATATTTGGTTAAAAAGAACACAATGGTGCTCTAGGAGGAGATTCAGGTGATAAGGTGGGGGGGGTTACCTTGGTTTGTTATTGGCTAATGGTTACACAAGCCAAAAAATCGTTATGACATCATAAAGTGGCCACAATCTGATCAGCTCATTTTCAGACAGGTTTTTATATATGGTTTGGATCAGGACAGAAAGAGAGCAAATCTTTTTTCCTGAACATTTCAGAACTTCGTTACACAGAGGGACACATGATTATGTATAAAAGACATAAACACTTGGAATTTGCCTAATAGGTGACCTTTAAAGCGGAGTAATTATAATTAGAGGTGTATTGATTCTGACATAATTGGGACCTAAACTTGTGGCACAATAGAGCCCTTCATGCCCCAAAGCAGGGCTCAACATTATAAATGGCCCGCTGGCCCGGAAGCACTATTTAGACACCCCGGGCCAGCATAACGTACTTTCCACTTGCCCGCTCGGGCCACTAAACATATTGCTTTAAACACAAACATTTCCTGTGGTATTGGTATTTTGACAAGCAATTTTGTTAAATTATTTTGTTTATTAACGCTACAACATAGCGTTTCGTGAGGCGGTTGTCGCTGTTTGCTGCGGAGTAGCGCAGCGCGAGCAGGCTCCCGTGCGCGGGAGCGCACTCGTTCACTACAGACTTTCTCGCCACCTAACCATTCGCCAAAATGCTTTTAATACCCCGGCCAAGCGCCGGGCAAAAAACAATCTTCAAATAAAAGAAAGTCACCGGAGGAGTTAAAGGAGTGACAGGGAGTATGAGAAGAAGAGGGAGAGAAAGTTTCAGCCACAATGGCTTGATCGATGGAGTTGGCTTCAATATGATGATATAAACAAGGTCTTTTGTCGGCTCTGTACATCAATCCCGACATAGGTATATTCGCTATAGGGAAATGTCCCAGCAGTTTAGGATAATGAACGTTCTAATCTAGGCTATTACATTTTTCTAACTCCTGATAATGACAGGAAGGCAGAAAGCACATTATACAAATAATAATACTCATAATAATGATAATAGCAGACATTCTTTTTTTAACAATGACCACAATATAATTATTTTAATAAACCAAATATTAACAATTGAGGAAAATGAGGAAGAACTGATGATTCAAATGTTGTAGTACAAGTAGTAATGTAGTTTGTGCATAAATTACTATTGCAACAAATGTGTTCATTTTCTTCATTATTAGTCAATTTTTTTGGAAGAATGCTCTTGGGCCAGTGGTTACAATGGTGGGGCCAGTGATAATGAACCGGGCCAGTGGAATTTGACCCTTAATGTCTACCCCTGCCCAAAGGCAGTCGTTCTACGAACTGGACTTCTCTGGATTCCTGCTAAAACAGGACTGCAGTTCAATTTGTGTGAAATGTCATAACTAGCATATGAATTCCTGACTGATTGCCGAAAACATGTTTTGTGAGATCACAGTCACCAAATGCTTATCAGTTTTCCTTGAGTTTTAGTGGTTGTTTGCCCCAAATTGGAAGTAATTGCCTCCAGCCGTCCCTGAAAAAGGACAATGTGACAGAAGGACAACCTGAAGACAAAATGCCTCTGTGCAAATGTTTCAAATTAACCCCGCCCGCAAACACACAAAAAGCTGAGGTCTGAAAAGGAACGTTACATTCCTACAGTACTAGTAAAGACAGTTTAACAGTTTGACAGTTATCCTAACTTAATAGCAGTCAAATAAATAACAGGTCTGTGGCTGGTGTTGGTATTGGTGGAGAGGAGACCCACCTGAAGAGCCAGGGAGCGCCCACGCTTCAGGAAGGAGGTGAAGGAATACATCACCAAGGAGACCACCAATAGCAAAGCTCAACAACTGCTTCAGCTTCTGACCACCAGCTGAGAAAACACATTAGAAAAAAGGTAGCAATTAGGCTACATGATGCTTTTAATAAAAACGTAACAATAACTTTATTTACAGCTTCACAGTTTCTTTCTCCTCCATTTAGAAGGCAGCTTTACTACACATCATTTTTTATTTTTTTAACAGGATTTTCTTTCTGCTTTAGGAGTTTCCTCAGTAATGACTAACCTCCGCTCAGGACTGCACTTCAAACCCACCAGCCTAAAATAAATCATGAATGCCACATTCTTGTGGGTGGGGCCACTCAAGAGGCCACAGGTTGACCTATACTAACAGAGGCCTGGTTATTGAAATGTTGTAGAGTTTCTTCCTTTGACATCAAGGAAAACCTTGATGTCAAAGGAAGAAACTCACAAACTTTGGTGGTTGACTACTAGACGTCTCATCTAGTGCCGCTAGCAGGTAACCATTTTCATGATATCTCAACATCTTCAACATGTAATGGACACTTTTGCTTCCCCAACAGACAATGTATAATCCTAATGACTTTAATCAGAGAGCAACCTGCCTTCATAGACTTTATTTTTCTCCACTGTGTATTTTTCCATTCAAGTTAGTTGATGTTGAACTGGCAGCCGGACAATATTACTATTAAGAACAAAAAAAAATTCTTGCTACTGATTTTTTTATTTAATTGGAAGAAACGTTTACTGTAAATGTACCTAACTTACCGTTTTAAAGTCTTTACCGTCTTTTATATACTTCAATATAAGGACATGGTTATGCAAAGAAAAATGCATTCAGTTTTTCAAGTACTTGGAGTGCCGATTTCATAGGATCTTTAAAAATGTACACCATCTACAATTTTATACCATCAAGAGAGTGGAGCTGGTTCAAGACTGGCTGACAAAGACCAAGAACAACTTCTTGTTGATGCCACTGAGGTTACTTCCACTTGTTAAAGGGTGTAGAGGGCAAATATTTACAATCGAGCCACTAAAGAGCTGGTATTTGACGTATATATAGTTGATGGGTTAATGAGGCGCAACAATTTCTCTCTTTAACTGCAGATATTTGAACCTTGAACTCTTCTGCTTTCACCACTGCAGTCTTTTCTAAGTTTGAGAGGTGTTTAACAGATGCATGGCGTTATCTGTGTTCATTTGACATGCATATATTGAAATACTAAACCTAGTATATCATTATCATTATTGAATTAGGCGAAAATATTGATAGTATTATATGTTTACCTGCTACCATCTTACCTTCTGATTTGAGGGCTGCTCCAGCTTCAATGGGAATCACCAGAATAGGTAAAATCCCAGTGAGGCCGACAGCAACAGAGCCCACGAGGGACAGGAGCCAGACATGAGCCTGTTCGCTGGATAAGAAGTTCGATATTTCACGGTAGCCTGGGAGTCCGTCTGTCAGGCCGAAGCCCGGTCCAGCAACCGAGGCTGTGGCCTGAGCCATAGCTGTTTGTGTCATCTTGTGGCTACTTAAGGCCCCCCTGGAGGTCAGCACCAGCAGGGTGACTGGGATCAACAGAGCAGCTACAGCCCAGCTGGGCTTTTTACAGCTTACACCTTTCATCCGTCCCACGGTCCAGAAAGCACTTGCAACGAGTAATGCTGCAAGAGGACAAACACAGAGGTGACAGTTGAGACAAACAGGCATCTCCTGCAATTTATCTAACATCCACGAACATTGTAAATAGCCATTTTATTAAGGCACTCACAATTGTGTTCAATACTCGATACATTTCGTGTGTGGTTTGGTAAGTTAAGTCAGAAGAAAGTCCTGTCACAGTATCCTAGAGCCAAGGTGGTCTTCAAATAGCTTGTTTACTATGCCTGACTAAACCAAAATCATCCCAATCAAAAAGCTGGAATCAGCTCACTTGCACTGTTGCCAAACAAATGTTCTGTAATTTTCAACCGGATGTAAATTGTTGTCAATCTGACCAGAGGCTGGGCCATGCTGTGATAAAAGTAAAGTTGTGCCAGGAAAAGAAAAGTCCAGAAATACCAGACTGCTTCCCTTTGGCAGCTGCCTGTGGAAATCCTGGCCATGCCTCACTCATAGGTACCGTTACAGGGAAAGGTTTAAGCTGCAAACTATTTGCAAACAAGTATTAATATGAAGCAGAAAGGTAGCAACAGTAACAACAGATGTTTATAAGTGTTTTAAAATCATCTGCTGCTCATCATGCTCCTGTGTGTGGAGTTAGCAGCACCGACTCGACCATAAGACAGTAAACACGTTACATTTCCACAATATGAACTAAACAGTACAAGAAAACACCACACAGCTAAACCCACTAACAACTCGTGAAGTAAACATTGCATTGAAAGCTTTTGAGAACGACATAGTGAGTTAGCTCCGTGGATAAAAGTTAGCAGGCTAGCGTTAGCCTGTAAACACTGAGACCTGCTGCACACATTAGCTGCGACAGACGCAATCTCTGCAAAACAACACTATCTCTTGTAACATCAGTTTGAGTAAATTAGTGATAACAGTACGGGCCGAAAGAGGCATCAAAAAACGACGTTACTGTGACATTTTCGGTTTTAAATACCTTGTTGTTTCTGCAGTCTGTGCTCCAGTGTGTCCCTGCCATCCAGGCCGGTGTGATGAAGGCTGACTCTCCCGAGCAGGATCCGCGAGCTGCAGGAGTCACCACGGCTCTCCAAAACAGCCACGTGTCAGGATCCTGGAGGGGAAAACACCATAAACAGGAGAGGAGACTCAGGACATGGATCCCGCCCCACTCAACATTTCAGGAAGTAACTTTATTTTTTGCCCCAAGGACACTAATTCATTTTCCACACCCAGGAGCAGAATTCAGGAGCAGATGTGTTGTAAAAAGTTAAGATGATCAAACCCCATGAACTCATCTGGCAGTTTTCAGGCCTAAAGGCTACATTAGCTGGCAAGAAATGTGATGTTCACATGTAGGCACATTTAAGTTACACACAGTCACAGAATCCAATACATTGAATCTGAAATCACAGCATTTAACCAAACCAAAACAGTGCTATAGTCAAGTCCTTTAGGAGATGTTCCAGATGTGTGAAGGATTCAACATATGCACCCCATATTATTTTAATGTTAACAAAGTAGCCTAACATAGATTAACCTTTCACTACAACTTTTTTCTTATAATTTTCCACAGGTACAGCCTGAACATGGACAACAGTGCTTTGCTCAGATGGGGCCCTTGAGAACATCATTGATGGTAGGCCTGCACCATTACACTCCCCACGGTAGCTCGTGTATCACAGAAGCTGTTTTGAGACCTTTGATGGGTGTTTATATGTCTGTCTGTAGACATGTTTGTTCAGCGCCAGAGTGTCACAACTGTGCAACATGCAGTCCTATATATTTGGAGTTTTGCCAGGATTTGATTTAATTGATTCTGTCCTTCTTTAAAATTCACAGTTTAAAAAATATATATAAAATAACAGCCTCAAAGAAATTAATGTTTCAGTAGTTTACTGCCACCTTACATGAGCCCACACTCAAATAACTAAAGAACATGACTATTCAACACAAATTGACTCTCTTTTATACTTCATCACACACCTCATATTTAATATCCTAAATCTTCAGATTTTGGATCATTTCTAATTAAGACATTTATTAATAATTTCTGGTAAATCCAGCCTGTGGGTTTGGATATGATTTGAAGAGAGTCCGATTGTTACATTGTTTGTTTCTGAACCCAAGCTAACAAACAATTTATAACCCTGGAACTAAACCATTCAAGTTTCACAGTGCTTCATATTGAGAATTTGTTGCAGTAATGAGCTTTAGATAGTTTATTTCAAGTAGACAAACAACAAGTAGCCAGGCAAAACAATATGAAGGTTTAACTGGTAAGACTCAGAGCCACACCATCCTCGCAACAAGGTTCTTTCTGGTATAAATATACACCCCATCAGTTGAAATGGATCAAATGGGGTTTATTAATAAACTGCACAAGCTACATGAGATGTGTGCAGTTCAGAAACTAGGCAGGGGTCCAACAGAGAAATTACAGACCCTGTGTGTATCAATAAGTGTGTTTCACACACAGCTCAGTCTCTGTCAGGAGGGGTAGTTATCTTGTAGCCTGCAAATATCCAATACAATATACATGTAGTTTTCACCCCTAACATATCTGACACCTGTAGTGTTGGTGTGCTAGTTACTTTGACTTAACATAAAACACATGATAACCTTATACGGGAAAATGCTTTGTTATCGAATAATCTAGTTGTTGGCACCCTTTGTGAGCCATTACAAACAAGAATTGTCAAGTTTGAGCTCCTGGTAGTCTTTTACTAACTCAATTTGACTAAATCCTGAGCTAAATCAATTAAAATGTAAATAAACTTGCTCCAGCTCAAGCAGCTACAATAGTAACATGCTATTTACAAATACTGTACATGCATCAGTGTTAATCTTACAATATGAGATCATGAATGAGATAATTTTGCTGTCACTTTTGTAATTTTTTGGAGTTTGTTGGATTTGAATGCAGAACTTTTACTTATAGTGGAACAGTTTGTTGCTAGATAGTTTAACCATCTCAAAAGCCTAAATATGTTTTTCTCTTTTAAAATAGTGAGTCATTGGAAGTATTTGATCTGTTTTGTGTTTAGCACCTGTCAGAGTTCACAGCAAGCATTTTGCTCCTTTAGGGCCCTACAGGTAGTCAACACTGCATCACAACCTCACCTCTAGAAGATGTACTGCTCTTAATAAACAGCGCTGGCCAGCAGGTGGTGCATGTGACAGGAGTTTACTGCATAAATGATGGTATGACATGTGCCCCGACAACTGCCAAGAGACAAATCTCGTTATATTATGACAGCAATAACACTCTATCTGCTTTTAAGCTTGTTTTGCACTTAACACAACTCAACAGTCTCTTAAAGTAGAAATGCTTGTCCACCCTTGTTTCCCTTCCTTTTCATTTTAAAATACATTTAAAAAAAAGCTTGTTAACTTACTTTATTACAGCTTGAAATGTTTCAAAGAGCTGAAGAATGAATGATATTGGTCTACATGTTTAGGTATACTTGCAAATATAATGATAAATACAATAAAATGACTTAAATGTAAAAGTGTACAGTATGATGATGAACAGTCTTAACTCCTGACTTTAACAACACATTGTCGGAGTCAGATGGACAACATGTTCTTTAGAGACGTTGTTTTTAAGATATAACAAGTTTAACTGATCTGTAAGTTCTCTTTTTTTTTAAATAGACTTGCTAACTGTGGCTCTGAAAGGCGGACTTAGCAGAGTGAGATGTGAAGATAACAAAAAACATGATTAATATCCGCACTGAGTCATCCTTGTCTGACTTGAGCAATACATAAAGAAAGAGGAACTTGATTGTTTAGTGGGATAGAGGCCCGAAGCCTTATATGGGTGTATAGGTAAATGTGTGTGTTTGTGTGTTGTTTGTTAAAGAGATCTCAAAAACGTAAATGTTATAAGACAGAGTGAGACAGCAGATTAGACCTATTATCTGCGGTCTGTAATATTTTCATTTTAAAAGTGGCTTTCCGTGCGTGTGTGTGTGTGTGTGTCACTGTGCGTGTGCGCGCATGTCCATCTGCCTTGTGATTCACCCCTGTCTAATAATACCCAGAGCCTTGTCTGATAGTTGAATCTTGTGGAGTCCAGAGAAAATGAGGAATCAGGAATAAGAAGTGAGAGGGCTGGATGTCCCCTTGCACGCATGTCAAGCGACCGTTCCATGTCATTGTGAAACACATGACGGCCACCGAAACCACTGCTGACTGTTAGCCAGGAAGCATGGGTCCTCTGTGCGGACCGTCCACACACAGAACTGAAATATTTAGCATTATTTTCTCCATTTTTAGGATTTCATGAGAATCTTCTAGTGAATGCACTTGTCAAAAGCTCACTCCGTGGATCCAACTTTAGTCTTAATACATCAGTTTGGATGCTTGCTGGATTGCTTTTCAGACTCCCTGATGATGTTGTGCCTGTTTTTAGCTCAAATCGTTCATAACAACATTGCATTGCATGTCAACGTGGTAATGTGTGGCTCGCACTGTAATGAGGCCTGCAGGGGTGTCAATAGATAATAAATCAAGTGACACATGTATTTCTGTTTTGAATTGGATTACATTTGCATTTATATCTGCACTGTAATTCTGCTATGTCCATTGTTTACTGGCCAATGTCGAATGCATATACAGCAGATTTGATCAATTAATAGCATAAAATAAACCTAGCTCTCATTTTTTTCTGAATAGTTGAATAAAACAACTTACAACATATGCATTTATCTTTAGAAACATACATTTAACTTAAAAACTGTATTTGCACATTGACAGGTTTTCTTTTGGTATAAACTGCTCTGGACACAAAACGGCCCTGAAGTGGCTGCTCTGTTTTTAAAATGAGCCCCCCTCATTCATTTAGTAAGATCAAATGAAAATGCATGAGCTGATTTGAATTGTTGATATTGATTCTAGTTTTGCACATCACAGCGACACTCCTTGTCACACCATTATTCAAATGAAATATGTTAGTCGAAGTGCATGCCACATTTCACAAACATAGTTCTGTAAATACATGCCGACACATTTTTTCATATTCTATCACTCTGCTTTCTAAAATATATTTGCTAATTCATAACAAGTACCTTGAAATTAGCACACTAAAGGGAAGGTGTTTTTTAGCTTGTATATAAACCAGTCATTGGAGTGTGACAAAACTACTGTTTAATTATGTTTACAAGCTGTTGCATTAAACACCAAACATTACATTTGAATGTGTCCTTGAGTGTTTGGTAATAACAGCAAATAAAAAATAAAAATAAAAGAGGTTCTGCACTTTTTATAGTCTTAATAGGGATCACAGGGTTCACGTCAAAATTAACTAAATTCATCAACATCAGGGCTCACAGTAGATTCACAGCCTCGAACACTTGTTTTGTAGGAAGAGTTTGTCACCTTCTTGTTTTTAATAAGGAAGAAGAAGAAGAAGGAGAAGAAGAAGAAGAAGAAGAAGAAGAAGCCTTATGTTACCAACCTAAATTGGTAGAATTAAGGAAGTTTTTAGTTCCCCTGCTAATTCAGAGATATATAGAAAGCCGGCTTTTCAACCACCTTTGGCAATTTGCTTCCAGTAGTCCAACAACTCTCCTGTGGACACCTTTACAGCTCATCACTGGAAGTTTTACAGAGAGCGACGGTAAGACCCGGGCAGTCGGTTCTCTGAGTGAGACTGTGGGCGTTTCCTGACTTTCCTTATAGACGATATAACACACTGAGATGAGATGGGGTTTTAGTAATACTTTGTGTAATGTAGGTATCAATTGTTATTGTGTTTATGAGCTAATACATCTGGCATACATATATTGTACTTTCAGCATTTACTTCTTTCTAGAAAAGTCGCTTTTTTTCTGTGCTTTCTTTTTTTACATTTTGTGAGACTTTATTCAAGATTTTAAGCGTTTTAGTTTTTAACTCATAGCCTGGTCAACTGAAACATATAGATAGATAGATAGATAGATAGACACATTAACTTAATTCTTATGAGGAAAGTTAAATGTTTTAAACTTTTTTGTGTGCTTAACCATGTGTTTGAGAAGCTAAAGTCAACAAAGCATATTATTTTCTCATTTAGGGGTAGTTATCAGAATCAGGATACCTTTATTAGTCCCACAGAGGGGACATTTATATTGTTACAGCAGAAAAGAGCCAAAGACAGCTTAATGTTACCTAAGAAATTATTTACGTATTCATGTTTCTTTATTATAAAATCCTACTACATTTTTCGTTTTCTACATCTTTGCTGTTTTTATGTTGTTTGTTCTTTGCTAAACACAATTAACAAAGTTATTTCTTGTATCTATGGAACCACCACAAATATTACTACAGCCTACCCGGGGAATCTTTATTTTTTGGACAAAACCTTTTTTTTCAACTGAATTACTCAACTAGCTCAGAAGAAATGGTGAGCGACGACGATTTCGAAATGTGAATACAGGAGTTACAGAGTGTGGACATCAACCTGCAGTCATTCTGGTCAAACTGATGTTCTGCAGAGGAGGAGTGCAACACTTCCTGTTGCGACGTAGCCTGTATCCTGTTTTCCACAGTCCGTGGTCATGCGTGTCATTCCCCTCTGCAAGGCTGTGTTGGCACAATCTCGTGACCCTGCGCTGTCAATCTTATGAGACTGAATCAAGGGAGACTCCGCATGTCTGAGAAAACTCTGAAAGTCAGCAAAAAATATGTAAAACAGCACGACAAAAGCACCCTGTTGAGAAATGACTGACTTTAGTCTCTCTTGCTAGCAGTTGGTAAGAAAGACTACAGTAAATAACAGATATTTTTCATTGAATAACCTCTGTGTTTAAAGTGTTAAGTAGGCTGTAGCAGTTACAGTGCTTCCTCCAGAATATTACTAGGCTCCTAATAGAAGTGCATATGAAGATAGTGATGAGAACATTGACACCTCTATACACTCGAGGGGCCAAAGAACACTATGTGACCGTAAATGAAGAGGTGACAATATAACTGTTTACGTGTTTTGACCATCAAGATGCGTATCTCGTGACTGCATTCAGACAGAAAACGGCTCAGTTACACACTGTGGTGCTACAGTATAGGTGCAAGAAAGCAACACTCGGAGCTACTGCAGGTCTCTATAATGTAACTTCACACTTCGGAACAAATATAACAATGTTGTCAACTTAATGTTTTACTGTTATGTAGATGTTTTTATAGAGTGAAAGAAGTCTATTCAGTCCCTGCATGTTGACATATTCACTTGAAAAACCTGCTCATTATAAGGAAATCCAATGCATTAGCTCTTTAGTTCAGGCTATAGTCAGTGTGTTGTATGGTTTTCCTGGTTCTTCAATTGTTGCTACTTCCCACAACATCTGTCCAAAGTTGACAAAATGTGTGTACCAGCGCCTTCAGAAGCTCACTTACCCGCTACAACTGGCCAATACATACACAGTCATGTAATCCCCCCCTCTGCTAGCCTTTATGTTGGCTAATGTAAACTAATGTCACCAAAATTATAAAAGGCTTTGCTGTTTCACTGACATTACTGAGCCAGTGTCAATTTTATGATTAATTTCCAGTTGTGTTACAATGTGCAGCAATTGACACTAAATTGCTGCAATTGACAGTTGCTGTTGATTAACTAAACTTATCTAAGATTTCTTTAAGTAGATATAGTAATGTGCTTAGTTACATTCCACCTCTGCTAACCTTATATTGTGAGGCTTTTCTGTTATTTCATCAGCTGTGAACAAGTGTGGGTGCATGAATAACAGAGGTTAAATAACACAGACTTAGCTAAAACGAGACATTGTAAGAGTCACATGTTGTTCAGGGCTAATACGTGGATTTAACTATATTAAGCAAGTGTTAGTGGGTCCACCACTGAAACATTACAGTTAATATAGCAGGATCCTTGTTTCTTTGGTTAAAGGAGTTCAAACACCAGTACATGTATCATGCAATCAAACCGATCTGCCACCAATTGTACATTTATGAAGATTATAATGTTTACTTTTTGTTAATAAATGTTTTAATTCAAGAAATGTTATTGAGTAGTAGTGGTGTTAATTGGATTACATTATGTTGAATTTGACCTAATAAAGTTGTCACTGAGTGTATTATAGGCCCAAAGTATATCAAATAATGTGCGTTTCTTTTAACTAAAACAATGAATGATCTTTCAGGGTCTTTTTATGATGTTGTAATCTGCCTGCAGAAAGTGAAACAGACGAGTTAAAGGATTTATCAAAAACGCTTAAAATAAATGAATCAGGGTTTTTTCTACTTTTGGTTTGTAAGGATTTAAAAAAGGAATGGGTTTGTGACAGTACCTGTAGTTAGTTTTTGAACAGAAATGATTTTCTTGTAATTAAACCCAAACTTCTTCTGTTGTAGTTTCTAATAGGTCTTACAAAATAATGTTAATTTGTCACACTTTTTAGTTGGTAATTATGTGTGTATACAGCAGCTATCTTTTAAACTGCACATTGACATTCATAATGTTTACCAATGTCTGATAATTTTGAAAGATCCTTGACACAATGCAACACTTAGTTTCCTTTAACAAAGCAACAGACCTGTACAGATCTCTGGATAATCCTGACACGTAAATGGATCCATTCAACCTTCAAGGAACTGAATCTGAAAGGCACATTCCTGGTTCCTCATTTAATAATACAGTATATCAATGCATATCCTTTATTCTGAATGTATTTAATCTTTCAGGCCATAAGACAGACAAACAGCCTGAGACTAGTACTGTTCTGAGTATAGTCTTTAAAAGCTATCAGAGACACAAAGAAGAGAACCACCGAGTTAATGTTGAGTTAATGTTTAGCTGAGAAATTAGGTAGTAACGGCAACAACTGAACTGAACTTCAATTACATACAGTACAGTTTTAAATTACACTCAGCAGATGCAGCAGGGATCAAATTTAAACAATATTTTCTTTATTCAATACTTCTACAGATTCACGCCTGGTAAAGTAAGGCATCAACTAAATCTTTCTTTAAAGCTTTTGTGAACTATTTATTGCATTTTTCAAGTAACTTTTTTTTTTACTTCTCTGTTTTGTTTTTGTACTCAATGTGGGAAGGTCTTTGAGTTGAGAAACCTAACAAACCTTGTCAAACTGATTTTATGAGTTCAAATCTGATCAGTTGTATTACATTATTTCCTAATTTAGTTATTTAAAGTTCTTGCACTCCCCAAAGTCTTATAGGCAGGCTGACTTTAGGATAAATGTTGCTGCTTGTGTTAAAAGTTCAGAGGACCAAAGCATTTTTAAGTATAAATGAAGGATAAATATAAATAGTTCACACATTTGAACAAAAGACTGAAAAAGAGTATGTATTCTCCTCGGTCACCACAGCAGTTGATGGGGCGCTGTGACTTGCATTTGCTTAAATTCAAAGATTGAGTAGTGTTTCTTTGAAAGGTTTCATATAAAATGATCAGCATTGCAATTACCTCTTATTTGAACTTCAGTACAGCTTTGAGGTACTTGTTTTTTTCTCCACCACATACAATACATTAACCTGTTAAGCCCTGAGCCTGTTTTTCAGGTCTCAGGCTCGAAAATGACATGCCCAGAACCAGTGGCGTAACTATCGACGGTGCAGCCGGTGGAACGCACCGGGGCCCAGAGCCGGCCAGGGGCCCATACAAAATAAAAAAATATTTTTTTAATATATATTTTTTATCTTTTTATTTTTTGGGGCCCCAATGGCATTGACCGGTTCACGCAGTCTTCAAAGTAACCAAGCAACCTAAATAAATTTGTAATTTGTCTGTCCAATGACCTTACTCCCTTTCATGTCATGTGATACCTTGCGTGACGAGCAAACCGTTTAATCAACCTGTACTGTACTGTAGCTAGCAGCAGCAAGTTCGGCAGCATTATAAAAAATGTAATAGCTTGCATTTATAATGTACAGCAAACCAAAGCACAAGAGCGGCGCTCAAAAGAGAAAGGACAAGAGAGAACAAGGAGATGTAACAGCTAAACTGACGAAATTAGACAGTTTATTTTGTCATACATCGTCCTCGAAATCGAGCGCTAACATTAGCAATGTTGACGTGAAGCGGCAGCCGGAGCCGGAGGCTAACGATAGCTCACCACCATCATTGCCAAAACAATATTTGCACCGGGGCCAATCACAACCTTGTTACGCCACTGCCCAGAACAAATGACTATATCTTCACTTCTAAAAGGGGTACATTAATAATCTTTTTTCTCAAAGCAATGATACACCTGTGAGTTGGATGTAGAAGAGTCAGAATCAATATAGATGTTTTTATTTTAAAGTAAATTCAGATTGAACATAGAAAAAAATGTAAATGATAGTTTCCGTCCAAAGAAAACCCATTACTTATAGTGAAAACCACCCTTGAATGATGGGATAGTAGACAAAAAGCTTTAGGAATCCAAACTATAACATATAATAAGTACCCTGTATCAAGATTGATGCAAAACAAGTGACATTTGACCTTTTTAGAGAGGTTTAGAAGAAAAAAAAACATTTGGGTGTATTTGCCATATCTCTGGAACCCATTGGTCGATTTTGATGATTGACACCTCTTTTGAACCGTTAGAGCCAATAGAATCGAGGGGAAGTTCCTAAATCCACCTACACGTTACCATTGGATTGAGAGTGATGCGCACGCAGTTTGCCCAAACCGAAAGCTATGTTACGCTCTGAAAACTGAAAACTAGGCTTATTGACATAAATATTATGATGGATTATCAGTAATCATTTCAAAGTGACACAGTGACATTGGATTAACCTTCAGCAGCGTGTATATGCGTTTTACTGCCATTGAACACAACTTTTGATCAGAAAACAGCAAAGGTAAGACATATTTGCCGTTTTGGCCCAGTAAAGTGAAGTTGTGTGTTGTCTTTGCCAGCTTTCGCTGCCGCGGGTTTTGATCGATCAGTGATGATACCTATACCATTGGAATCTGTGGAATCTCAGCTTTCAGATGATATCTTGTTTGTGCAGATCCGATGAAGTATAAAAGATCGCTAACGTCAGTTATGTGCCAAGTGCGTTAGCACTCTTTCTCTTAGTGCTAATTCAGAGGCTTGGCGTTAGACATGTGTTTGTTTCGGTAAAAATGTTTCATATCGTCAGTTAGCTGAGTGTCTTCCCGTTCAGTGGGTATGACACATTAATGGGTTGTTAAATGTTAAGAAGCCCTGAGACACAGTTTCGTGAATATTGTTGTGATAGCCCCTGCCGGCGTGGGCTACCGGGCTTAACAGGTTAACTAGCATTTCAATTTAATAATGTCATCCACGTTAACACATTAATCAATTAGATGATCAAACTTGTGATTTTACAGCAAGTTGGATTCATTTAAAACACATTAAAATAGTCAAAGTTAAACAAAGAAAACGTTTTTAAACAGCTGCTTGTCAATCATTTTCTTGCACAGCATGAATAAAAAAACGTTATCCTTTGACTTCTCTCAACAGTTGTGATGGAAATAGTGGTTGGCGTGCTGCAGCTCTTTGTGTATTAATACTCTCGTAAAATGCTACTGTAAATGTCATCAGTTTTGTTCAGCCAGCTGTGATTAAGATGGGGCCGGTCGAGGTTGCCCACAGCCTGTGTGGTTTTAACAGCTCCCAAAATGAGACTCTGATCATCATCCATAAGCAAGGAAAACAGAAGAGCCATTGAAATAACAACAGACATGAAGACAGAATGATCTACTGTAAACCAACTACAGTTCTTTCAAACAGCATGTATCATAAATATATGGATAAGAAGTTGAAGTACTGCTGTCCAACAATCATGTCCTCTGATTCTGTGCTTGTGAATGTATCGGACTATGTTGCAATAAATATGAAAGCAGTATTTGAAATATGCTTTGACCATGTTTGAGTGTGTATCTGAGATCTCAGCACCCATGGGAATCAACAACTAACCTCAGTAATGTAATCTTACAGAAAGTAATATTTTCAGCGCATTGCCTTATCACAATGCTGCAGTCTTCCTCTTAAACAGACAGCGCTAACAATAAACACTCAGATTTGGGCTTCACTGTTGCTTTACTATTTAACAGTTATCTCTGCAGCTGGGAAATATTTTGAGTTGTTTCAGTTGCCAAAAACTAAATATTTAACTTTTATTTTTGCCCTAATTTAAAGTATATATAAAGTATATTGCATAACAAACGCATATTACATAAGCAAACCAACTGTTTGAGTTTCCTAATCGCAGAGGGACACACTGACCCCCCAGGAGCTTTTCTACAGTATCTCATCTATCTGTAGTGATAATCTTCATTTAACCCCAGTGTGGTTTCAACACAGGTACTGCACTGCACATTTATCTTATCTTCCAGCTGCATGTCGGTGTGATTGTGTCTGTGGGTATGACTGTCAACATTTGTCCTCCGTCGTGTTTACATCACCAACTTAACATGTATAGTCCTTTTTGATACATTATAAGTCTGTCAGTTTTCAGGTCTGCATTCAGAGCCGGATGTATACTGTTTACAGTGAGACACTTCACTTCACACACAAGGTGCTGATAATTAAAAATAATATGTGTCTCAGTAAATCCTGTCTTTGCTGTACATGTGAGGTGTAATTTATAGCATATATTTTAAATAAATATATATATTTTAAAAACATCTTTAAGCTTTCTAGTGCTTTTTATTTGAACTGTGAGTTCATTAAACACTACTGTACATAAGAGTCAAAATCATTGTTTGCTCCAACATATCTAAAAAGCTTATTTTGATGCTGATTTTACTGAATACTGGCTTCAAAGCTCTATATTATATACATGTTTACAGCATACAGTTTTTATAAGCAAACAAATACAAACAGAAGAACATTTTTGTTTTAATTTATTTTAAATATTAATCAAAACTTCCTCATCTGATGAAGAAATATGTATATTATTACCATATTGTCAATTTATGATGAGAAAACATTTATAAATACCTATCCTTATATGTAGGTACTACATTTCTACAGCATATATTGCATTGTCCTCATCATTTGAGGAAATATACTGCTCTTAAACTAG